TTTAACTCCTTTTTTTTTATTCTCCACTTTCAAATTCCCTAGCGTCGTCTTCCCCAAATCCATTTGCTTCTTTTCCTAATCTAGTCAGATCATAGATGTGGCACAAAACATATAAAAATTTATTAAAATGTGGAAACTCTTTGACTCTTAAGCCACCTCAAATATAATTTGCCTAGATGGTGTCAAAACTTAATATCCTTTTTGAGGTTTTTTTTCTTGGTAAAACTGTCATAGCTGACTTTTGATATCTAAAGCAAATTCTATCTGAGCATTTAAGTATTCCACTGGGAGATTTATGTCACTGACTTCACTTGCAAAGCACACATCCTTTTTGGAATCTCCCTTATGTATATGACCCGTCACTGGGGTTTATACTACGGAAAACTCAATTTCTTTGTAAAATTGCTTCTAAACAAATTTGTTTAGAAGAAACAAATCTAAAATTCCTTATAAACAAATCAAATCCTTGTTAACTCCAAAATGGCTACTGCTCTGGAAATCACTCCTCTCAGATCAAATCTCAGAGAATGGTCTGGATTTTTTCTGTTGTACGGTAATGAAATTAGATTGAGGCGAATATAGCTTAAAATATGCATTCCGGGCCATATGGAACTGTTATTCATATTGTTGGCACAGAGCGCGTGAAGCACAAATGTGATAATATACGGGGGATGCTCTGAAAATTGTAAGGAGCAACACACATGTGAGGTTGACATTTACCCATCAAATTGCCAAGAATTGTTTCCTTCCTAAGACCAGGCCTTGCTGAATACCAGGTACACAGCCATTTGAGATGAGGATCATGAGAGGGATTCTTGGCTTTCTCGCCTCTCCAACTTCTGCCTCTGACAAGGCCAGAATAGCTTGGGGACGTCTGGTCAGTTGCTGGAACCAAGCTGAGGACCCTGCTAGGACAGACATCAGCTCTCTGTGCCTCAGTTTCCTCAGGGGGACGACATTTCAAAGAGTTGTGATAATGGTTAAATGAGATTATGTGGATAAAGTTCACAAGCACTGGAGACACAGTAAGTGTCAACAAATGGCAACTATTATTGGTTTCATCCTCCTCATCCCATGGGTCACTAGTGACAGGCCAGGAAGGGCCCCCTCAGCCCCAGTCGCTACTCAGCCTCAGCTCCTGCCGAGGACTTCCAAGAGCCCTTAAAAGGGCCGGAAACAGTAAAGCAGAGACCGGTGCTCAGCCTCTGGACTCCTCAAAGGGTAACGCCGGCGGGTCCGCTGCTTAAGAACCTCTTAAGGGGCGGGGCTTTCGGGAAGAACCTCCAGGCGGGGGCGGAGCCAAAGGCCCGGCGCTCCAGAGGCTGAGGTCATGCAAATGAGATATGAATATTCTAATATACTCCATTCTCCCAGTGAACCCGAGGGCGCTTGCCTGAACTGGCAGAGCGGGCGAGGGAAAAGGGGAGGACGTGAAGAGGACTTAGAGGCGCAGCCCGGCTGCTGGACCGAACCGACCCCAGAGAGACCTCGCGCTGGGAGAAGACGGCCCTCCCCCAGCACCGGGATCCAGCCGCCCGCTAGCGCCGCCCGTGGGTCCTTCTGGCTCCCCACCGAGGGAGATGAAGCCGGGGCGGGGCGGGGCGGGGTGGGGTGGGGGGAAGGTTCTGTTGGTAGCAGTGAGGGGCTCCTGCGAACTCAGGAGCCAAAAGGTTCTTGCCAGCAATTGCAACTTGTTTTACAGATGGGGAAACTGAGGCCCAAGATGGTAAGCCCCTTCTCCAAGGTCTCAGGGCCTGCGGCAGAAGCGCTCAGTTTAGCAGGTTTTGTTCGTCTCTTTTTGTTTTCACTGGGCACGTGGACAACACTCCGTAGGTGAAAAAGCTGCAGCCCCATACGCGCAGAACTTGGTACATTACCGAGCATGGGACTGCCCACCAGGCCAGAGGATTTAGAAAAGAGTACTTTCTGGGAAAAGATGAAAGGCGTTGGGGTGGCAGCCAGTAGCAGGCAAGACGAATTATCATAGACCGGCCTGGAATGTGTTGCTATGTAAAAGGTGATGAAGTGTTCCACCTTCCCCGAGAACCAGCTCAGAGGAAATGAAAGGGGAACAGAGAGGATCCGGGCTAGATTTAAGGCAGCATTTTCTCCCAGGGATGATAATGGGGCCCTTCATTCAGTGACCAAGGAAGGCTGTGGACTCGCCCCCCTCCCTCCCACTGCTGAGGCCTTTGGGAATCAATCTCCCTGCGGTCACACAAGGGCCAGCCTGGAGGACAGGAATGAAGGATTGACTTTGAAAAGTCCCCTCCATTCAGGTAGGAGATCCTTTCCCTGAATGGGCCTCCTGGGCTCTCTGCTGAGGATGAGGACAGCAGACGTGCTGGCTCTGGGGCCCTGGGGGGAGAAGCTGCAGTCATGGCATCGCTTGCAACACGCTCCCTGCCAAATTGATTCAAATTGGCTTGGATATGAACATATGATTAAAGGAGCGGCACAATTCATTTATCAGGAGAGATTAAAGAGCGGCATCTGCGCAGCCTAGCTGGGGGACAATTAAGGAGCAAATCACTAAGTGTCTGTGCCACCAGGCATGGGGGCGGGGCCTGGGGGGAAGGACAACTGGCATAATCTGCCAAGAGGACACAGGACAAAAGGAGGTAGTTCAGGAGTCACTGCATGCCACTGTGGTCTCTGGGCACAGACTTGGTACCTTGGGGAGCCTCAAAGGGCTTTGGTCCCCGCCCAAGCCTCTTATCCAGGAGTCAGAGCCATCCCCAGGGTCTGAGATTAGAGAGGAGGACCTAGTGAGGCGGCTTTGAGCCTGGCACAGGGACAGACTTGCTGCCTGGTTTGCGGGAATCACTTACATGTTAGGGACCAGAGCTACTCCTGTTTACAGGTGAGGGCAGGAGCTCACAGACCTCTGAAGGCACACCCAAAATAGAGATGGGTTTTGATGGCCCTGCAGGCCCCTGGACTCCCCTGGGGAGTTGGTGCTGAGGGAATTGCCTCCGTCTCCCAGCCCGGAGCCCAGCACCGTGGCGGAGGGGCTTTGCTGCAGCTTGGAGAAGCGCTGATCATGTGAGGTGCTGTCTGGCTTCCCCAGGCGGCCTGTGGAGTTCCCTACCCCCACCTGTTGTTCTCGGACTCAGGGCCTTTGCTCAAGGTTTGCTTTTTTCCCAGCACACCTGTCTGCAATATCTACCTGTGGAAGTGCTATCCTTTCAAGCCCCAGCTCCAAATACCAGCTCCTTTTAGAAGCCTTCCCAGTCGTCCCCCACCCCCCTTGCAGTGAGAGTGTCTCCCTTCATAATATTCCCAAAGTAACTTCTTCATCCTTCTGTATGTCTCATGTAATTATTTCCACCTGGGTCTGCCCTGGCCCTAATCCACGAGCCGCTGGAGCACAAACACTATGATTACTCCTCCCCACTCACCCCCAGCTTGCACATATTGGTAGGTGTGGTACATATGTTGTGTGTCTGACTCCTCCGCTAGAATATCCACTTTATGATGCAGGGGAGCTCATCCATCCCCAGCACTTAGACCAAGCCTAGACCACAGCAGGCAGTTATGAAATATGACTGTTGAGCGAATGGATAAATGAATAATAGAAGTTCTCTGACTTGAACAAAGCCCTCTGCCCCAGGCCAGGTCACTGGAGACTGACGTTGGACTTTCCAGTTAACCAGAAGCCTGCGTCACGTGGGTGAACAGAGTTGGGGTCTTGTCTATGGGTAGCAGGGACTATGTCATTACTAGTTCTGGGAGAAACAGAAAATGCACCAAGCTATTTGAAAGCAGGAGTAAAAGATGAGTGACAGAACTGAACACGAGGAGCCAGCAGTTTAAAAAAAATAAATAACTTCACTTTTACTACCTTCTCTATTCAACCTTGGCGGGCAGTGGAGAGGGGCGGTTTCTTTCATTCAAGATGGGCCCACTTTACACTCTCTCACACTCATTTTGGGGGTGTCTTTTCTCCTTCCTTCCCTTTCTGGGTGGTGACATCACCAGAGCCTTGGCATTAGGGCTGTCTGATACCCTTTCCCGTCTACTTGCCCAAACCAGGGGAGTCTGATTGGCCAGCTGTAAACACTATGCAAGCAGGGATTAGAACTGGTCACATTACAGAAGGTAGAGGAGGAGGAGGGACTCGTTTGTTTCTTGCCCTTCTGCATGAGCTGCTTCTTAGCTGTCCGTGAGGGCACCAAGTGTGGACTGGGTCACGAGGCAGAGACTGAGCAGGGAAGCCTGCACTCCCAGCCTATTCAAGTGGCCCTTTGGCCACTGGGGTTGGGGGCCAGAGAGAGTTCTGCCAAGTTTTGATCAAAAAGTCATCTGTGGAATGACTACAATTAAACTTAAAAAAAAAAAAAATCGAGAGGCCAGCCCTGTGGCGTAGTGGTTAACTTCAGTGCGCTCTGCTTTGGTGGCCCAGGTTCCCGGGTTCGGATCCTGGCTGCAGACCTACACCACTTGTCAGCCATGCTGTGGCAGTGGTCCACATATAAAGTGAAGGAAGATGGGCACAGTTGTTAGCTCAGGGCTAATCTTCCTCAAGCAAAAAAAGAGGAAGATTGGCAACAGATGTTAGCCCAGGACTAATCTTCCTCAGGAAAAAAAAAATTAAAAATAAAATAAAAACAGCTTGCATCCATCCCTTAAAAAAAAAGTTAGAGAAGATAGGATCTCTGTAATTGGTGAGATTTAAGAATCAGAGGGACCTCAACATTCCCAAGTGGAGGTCAGGGTGGGAGGTGGCCTGGACGGCTCTGCCAACCTAAATTACAATCCACAGGCTCTTAACATAAAAGGGGGGGGGGGTTATGTCTTCTTTGACCAATCCTCATCCCATTTCCTCTGCCTGCCCCAAATGACCTACCAAGGCTCTCTGAGTGGCACTGGTCTGACGTGAGAGCAGGCTGGAGACCAGCGCAATTCCCCTACGTCCCCACTAGAATCCTGACTCTCCTCCCTCGTGACCACCCTGGACTTTACCTGAGCCTGAAGGAAGAGGCAGGAAAATTGGCAGAGCCAGGAGGAAAAGGACATTTATTTCCATACATCAGGTAAACAGGGAAGAGAGAGCACAGCCCAATGAGTACAAACCAATTGCAGGAGAGAGGGGGGGACAGCAGATGGGAGCGGCACCAGGCACTGCCCTTGGGCCCCCAAGTCTGGTGGTGTTGGCAGGATAACCTTTAGGGTGGGAGCTGGGACCGGCAGGCCGCATGTTGTCACATCTGGGATAAGTGTGTGGGAGCAGGGTGATTGGAAGAAAAATGACTCAGGCTCAGAACATAGGGTGAGGACTCATGTCTAATACCCATTAGCACTGACCAAAACTTCCATCTTCAGTTCTTCTGATCACAAGCCCTCAACCCAAGGCCTTCCCTCTCAAGTTGAGCTTAAGGTCCAGGCACCCCGGACAGAGTGGGAGGGAGGCAGTGCTTGGATAAGCCCCGAAGTGGTGTAGGTGGAATGGGTTTACTCTTAAGTAGGTCATTGCACTTAACACACTGATGAGACGAAGAGGGCTGGGGGCTGAAGTTCCGGATGGTACCCATGCACCTCTGTCTCTGTAGGCTTGTTTAGCCCAAACCCAGAAGCACCTGAGAGCCCCTCCCCACGCAGACCCAGCTCTGCTCATCGGTTTCTCCAGCTGCACAGAGAAAGGACTGCTCTCTGAAGAGTGGAGATGAGATTCCCCTACTCACTCCCCGGGGTCCCAGCTGCCACTGCAGCTCCCTCCCACTCTCAGGGATGCAGCTGTGATGGAGAGGTTGGGTATTTAAATTAAAAAGTAAAAAGACAGCAGGCACTGAGAAGAGAAAGCCCTCGCCCCAAGCCAGGGGGAAGGAATTGCTGTTCCTGCCCCTAACTCCTCCCCATGGACCCAGCAACCCAGAAAGTCCCAGTAGGCAATCTGTCCACCGTCCCTGAGCAGGGGGCTGAGATGGAGGTCAACTTGCTGGCTCCATGCAGTGCCGAGCCACCTGCCACTGCCCACGGTGGCCCAAGGTAGAAGCCAAGAGTGTGGCGTTTTGGAGGCAGAAGGAGCAAAAAGTTCTCTTTTCAGAAGCTCCTCTTCCCCCCACCTCTTCCATGTGGAGACGTCAGCCACCCGCAGCCTGGGAAGCCCCCTGACCGAAGAGGGTTCGGTGTTTCCCATGCAGATCTGCAGTAAGGTGGGGAGACCTGTGCCCCGCCATTTCCTGCGCCATGGCAGCAGTAGGCCGTGGCGTGGGATGGTGTGGACCACTCCCCTGGGCTATGGGTTGGTTTCCATTGGCTTGGCCTCTGTGTCGCTGTCACTCAGATAGTTGTGGGAGTATCGGGGCCTGGCAGTGCTGTCCGGAGGGTCGTGCTCATCGTCTGACCGGTCAGGGGCAGGGGACTTCCAGTAGCTGGTGGGGCTGCAGGGAGAGAGGAATGAGGTCAGAGAGGACTGACACTCCTACCCTTTGGCACCAAAGCCTTCGGGCCTAGGGAGGCCCACAAGCCCTGTCATAGCGTTCCCCCAAAGCCACAAATGGAGAAGTAAAACCTTCCCTGGCTTTCCCAGAAGACACTCAGGTCAGTAAGAGAAAGGAGCACATTGTTTTGACTCTGAAAGCTTTGAAAACTCTGAGGAAAGTGATGCCGTGGAGCAGTGGGTCTGAGACTTGTGTGCGCGTAAGAATCAGCGGCAGATTCCTGAGAACTTGAGAACTTCCCTTGAGAAAAGTTCCCTTGAGAACTTTGGATTTGATAGCTTTTGGGTGGAACCCAGGAATTCTGCATTTTCAACTCCCTTCCCAGAAGGTTCTGATGCAGGTGGTCCATGGACACACTGACTTAGAGACTGTAGGCTTTGGTGATTATACGACTAGAACTTATCTAAGGTACAGTTATTTCTAACAAGATTCCTGCTAAGAAGAAGGGCCTTTCCTCATGGAATACCCCCAGATCTTAACCCCTTCTCCTAATCAGGTTTTCCTAAGGTCTGTGAGAATTTCTGCCCTTGACCATGGCATCCTCGCTTACCACAAGGAATGGAGACTCAGGAAATAGGACTGGCAAGACCTCTGCTTCAGGGTGGCAGAGCTGTCCCTTTCTTGGTACCGTAACCCAACCTGCAGAGTTTTCATCAGTCACCGGCAGTCCCCAGCTACCCCCGCACCAAGATGTGAGGAAGCATTACCCCTGGATGGAGCAGGCTCATGGCATCGAGCAAGGATGGGACCTCATCCAGCTCCAGTCAACTTCTCTTCTCTTTCTTTCCCAAAGCCTTGGAGCCGCCCTCCCCTGCCCCTCCTGCCTCCGCTGCCTCTGCCAGTTCAAGTGCACTATAATTTTGACACTTGGAGAAAATGCAGCCCAGGGTGGCTCCACCCTACCAGTGCCCTGCACTCAGTGGGTCCCTGCCCAGCGCATCCAGGGACACAGCCCTACTTCCAGATCCTAGAGAGCTCCCCCTGGGATAAACAGGAATTCTGTGACCCCACTGCCTACAATTCTGATTTCAGAATCTGAGGAGGGCCCTTGTTTCCTAGCTCTTCCAAAGTTCTGAAGTTCTTCTATCCCCAAACCCAAAGAGGAGGAAACAGGACTCTGCAAGAAAGAACCACATCCTTAGCTTTTCCAACTGTGGTGACAACCGGATTTGGTCATTGGGTACTTCCTGTGTGTGCGCGACTGTCCCAGGCACTCCGGATATGCTGTCTCATTCTTCACAACCCCATGACATGTCAGAGGAAGCTGGTTCAAAGAGGTGGAGCATCTTGCCCAAGGCTGCACAGCCAGTATGTAAATTTGAACCCGGAACTCTTAGACCTCAAAGCCTTTTGATGACTCCCCCTTGCCCCTCAGTTGGGTGAACTGAGGAGAAAACAAGCCCAAACCTGAATTCTCCCCGCTGGCCTGGGTGAGAGCCCAGGGGGTGCGTAAAGACAGGGCTTTCTCTCTCTCCCTGGGGAGAAGGAGCCTGATAGAATACATGTTCAATTATGCAAAATGGCTCAGGAATGGGGCAGTCTGGTTAACAGTTATCGTATTTCTCATGAATGAATTACCATTTTTAAAGGAATCAGAATAGCACAAAACACATTTAATACAAACTAGACTGAACATAAATGAGTCTTACTTTGATGGGCCGAAGGCACTTAAGGACTCTGGGGTGTCTCAGGGACAAAATTATAAAGCTCAATGATGACTGTGCAACACAGAAAAAATTGGGGTTATTTTAGCTTTTGGGTTGTTTGAATTCTAAATTAGTGGGAGCCTGGTTTTATCTTCATTTTTTAGACAGACTTTCTGGGCATCCAGTGCTAAGGTCTGCTGTCGGCACAGGAAGGACCGGCTTTGTGGAAAGACAGTGGGGTTATCTTGTGGGCAGAGTGGGCCGGCCAGATGCCAGGGCTGGGACCCACATGCAAATGGGGCATGGCTGGAGAGCCCTGGGGTGCTCCTCTCCTCAGAGTGGGGCCACAGCCCCCACTCCCACATTCCTGTGTCTGCCAGGCAGGCAGCCGGATAACTGACAGCCAGGTTTCAACGCTGTCCGATCCGGATGCTGGGCCCCGTGGCGGAGGCGGCTGGGGAGGGGAACCTCCACGCCTCTCCCCTGCTCTGTGGAGCCACAAGACCCCCTTGCTCCTTCCTTGGGTGCTCTTCGGCCAGTCTCCTTCAGGGTTCTACTACTGCTGCTGCCAGAGAGCCAACAGCAGGCAGCCAGTGCCCTCCCTGGGGCAAGAGTCAAGGCTGGCAATTGGAGCATTTTAACCAAATTGTTTAAAAAGCTTTCCTCCCCACAAGCCAGTGTCTCCTGCTCAACGCTGTCACAAACAATTTGGTACATAAGCTAATTCCCGCTGGGCGAGCCCAGGGTGGCAGCCCCCGCCCCTTGCCTTCGCTATGGAGCTATGGATACGTTCGTGTTCTGAATTCTCACTGGTCCCCACCACCAGATGGGAAGCTAAGCCACCACTCCGCCCCCGCCCCCACTCTTAGCACTTTATCCACCCAAAGCCGGTTCATGCTGAGTCCACCCAGGTCCTCCCTCCCCTGTCCTCCTCTGGCTGGCTCTGTGTTGTTTGGCTAGCTTCTGGCTTGGTGCCCACTCTACCCGCAGTGAATCAATCCTCCTCGGAGGTGGTGGCGTGTAGGGTTTCAGGACTACTCCTGTTTTCCTGTGGACAAGAGGAACTGTGCTGGTGGCTGGGGGAAGAAACAGGCTTTACGTTTTTGTTCTTGCTGGTTGTCGGGTCAAGGGTGACAACGGTCTGAGGGCACTGGGGTCTGAAATCCACCAGCCGCTGGTCAGCGTGGGTTGGTTGGCTGGGCCCATGTCTCCCTCTTCAGCTAGAAGTGCAGTGCTCAGAAGGGCCTGGCCCTCTCTGCTTTCCAAACCTCCCCCCACAGTCTATCAACTGACATCCTGCCCTGGGGGAGCAGGACACTCAGTGGGGCTGCTGAGGGGAAGGCTGAGGTGGTAGACACAATATTATGACTCCCCGCTTTTCTCACTGTGGAGCTGACAACAGCTCCCTAGTTCAATTGAGATGCTTCCTGCTCTGCCCAGAGCACCCGGCAAGCATCTGCCACATGGGGGAAGCGACAGAGCAGCGGTGAGCCCAAGAGCTAGAGCAGCTCAGGCCTGAGGAATCTGAGTTGGCCATGAGCCTGGTCTGGGTTCAAGTTCCTCCTCCCTCATCCCATCCCGTCTAATCCCATCCCATCCCCCATCTCCAAACAGCTGCAGGTAACATTCACTTCCTCTTGCTTCCTTCCTTAAAACGTAACTGGTCCTTTTTGGTACAACCCAGCCAGGCAGTGTACTTGTCCAGCTGCTCCACTGCACAAGAAGCCCACAAGCACGCGAATGGTGTGTGTTAGTTCATGCATCTGGGAAACATGGCCCGTACCCCAGGAGGCTGCACTCTGGGGTCAGACCTCCTGGGAAGCAGCAAGCTTGCCCTGGGAGGGTACCACGCAGAAAACAGCTTCACATAACCAGGGTGATCCAAATGTCACCACCCACCAGGGAAACTGCAACAATGTGATTCCAATGAGTCAGTCTTCTCCTTTCTTCTGAGGGGGTTGTGGGCAGAAGGGTCTAACTGCTAGATCACCCTCCCTGCAGTGAGAAGACTGGGGGAGGCAGGAGAGCCAGGAGGGAGCTGTCACTCAGCAGCTGCTAATTTCTATTCATTAAAACTTTACAAGACAGCAGAGACGAGGTGACGCCCATGTGTGGGCTTCAGGTGGGCGGGCCGGGACGGGAGTCAGGCATCTCCAGGTCTGTTGCAGGGTGCGGTGCTGTGGGGGCTGCAGCCCTGTGAGACTTGCATTCCTAGCCTTGAGATCCATGCCAGGGAGGAAGGTGGCATTGCAGGGCCTGGGGCAGTTGAGCAAAAGGCCCCATAATAACTGATGGCCACTGACACACCAGCTCACACCTTGGGGATCAGCCTATGAGGGCTATGGACAAAAACTCCCACATGGGTGCTACTGGGCACACACAGTGAGCATTTTGCCCACGTGCTCTGCCTTGGGCTGTGGAGGACTGGTTAAGGACAAGTTGCAGAGTCCATTCAGACCTCGGCGCTATCACTTCCCAGCTGTATGACCTTGGCAAGTGACTTAACCTCCCTGAGCCTCAGTGTTCTCTTCTATAAAATGGGACTAATCAGATGTTATGGGGTTAGTGTGTGGATTAAGTAAATAAAGCGTGGCAAATATCCAGAAGGGTCCCTGGCCAGGGTAAGGACTGGGTAAGTGGGAGCTGTGATTGACATCATCATCAAGTTCAGCTGACTGGGCTCAGAGCTCCGAATGACTGACTAGCTTAGCTGGCCCCTGCTCTCCGAGGTAGCCAGGAGGCTCTCTGAGGCCAGGCCTGCCAAGAGGAACACAGGAGGGGCCTAGGTGGTGGCGAGTGGGGCAGGAGCACGTTAGTTCACAATGAGTGGCACACGCCATGCTGCACTCCAAACCAGGAGCCACCTACTACGCTAGTCGCTCTCGGGCCGGTACAGGTACCGCATCATCAGGCTGTCCACCGCCTTCTTGCGCTTCTTCTCCTCCTTCCGTGACTGCTGGCGCGCCTGCCCAGCCTCCTCATTTTCTCCAGCCGGGCCCTTCTTCACGCTCGAGCGGCTGTGGCTTGAGACAGTGGAGCCACTGGATGTTGATGAGGAGGAATCAGACTCTGTCTCCGTTCTCTTTCTTCTCGATTTGGACTTCTTCTTGCTCTTTCGAGAGCGCCCCTTCTTCCTCTGCTTATACTCCGAGGAATCTTCTGAGCTGGAAGTGGAGCTGGAGCTGGACCTGCTCCTTCTCCTGCTCCGGCTCTTCCGGCTGCTGCGGGACCGAGAGACATCGGCAGCAGAGGCTGAGCGGCGGATGCTGGTGGCTCGCTCTGGGAGGTCCAGTCGGGCACTCCGGACACTCTGGGTGCTCTTCCGGTCATCCTCCTCGGAGTCAGGCTCCAGCCTGCTCCGTTGGAACGGGACAGGTTTGTAGCTCAAGACCTCATTGATGGCAGCCTCCAGGTCTGGGTCCAGGTAGGAGTGACGGCTGACGGGGCGGACGCTGGAGCCGAGAGGTTCATCCGTGGCAGAGGCTGAGACACGTGGCTGGGGTGGCACCGACAGACTTCGGGCCAGTGACGGGTGGCTGAACTGCGAGTGGGCCTCACTCAAGGCCACACTGGCTCCATCATGCCATTCATCCAGACAGCTTCGGCCCAGGGACAGGCTGGAATCAGGGCTCTCCCGGCCGAGGCCTGAGGCCCGGCTCAAGGAAGGGCTGAGGGTCTTTGACAGGCTGTCGAGCCGGGAAGTGCTGCGACGGGAACTGGGTGAGCCTGACAGTGAGAAGCTCATGGAGGAGCGGGCCCCATCCTCCCCAGAGCCGCGCCGTGTGGCCGAGGAGGCCCGGCTGACTGGTGCAGAGACGGCCGAGGCCCGGTCAAAGTCAGAGCCCCAGCGCTTCTCCAGCCCCCGGCTGGCAAGGCTCCCGACCTCAGAGAAAATGGAGCCACACTCCTCAGGCTCCTCAGACTTCCTGCCCTGGCTTGGCTCCTCCCTGGTGCCTGTGCGGGCCTTCCGTGGGGGCCTCTCGGGGGAGGCTGCCCTCTCGCTCAGGGTGGTGAAGAGCGAATCCTCGTCGCCAGTGCCCCCGATGGAGTCCTTCAGCGTGAGCCGCTTCCGATAGCTCAGGGAGCTCAGCACCGAGGCCGGCCTCTCCTCCGTCCCCTTGCCCTCCTTCCCGAGGGTGTTGAGGGCCGTTCTGAGGGAGGAGTGAGGCCGGGGAGGAAAGAACCAGTAATGGATTAGGGGGAGCAAAGAGAGAATGAGAGAGAGAGAAAGAGAGAGAGGCACAAGCGTTAAACCTAGAGAATAAAGACACGGGGAGGGAGGAGAGAGGAGGAGAAATCGACAGCAGCCCTGGAAAGTGGCCGTGAGAGCATCGGAGGAAATGAAGCAAAATAATTTGCGTCAGTGAAAATAGCTTCATGGAGAATGTCATGTAAATTAGACTATTGTTCTATTTCATCACTTTTCCCCCTCTAAAACGTTTAGTTCAATTTATTTCATTGTCAACTACCTGGAGCCTCCTGCCACGCAGTGGTGGACGGCAGTGGGGCGGGGAAGGCGGCATTATCTGCAATAACAAAATGTTGTTGGGCCGAATAAATTAAGCCAATTAGAGGGGCCCTGGCTGGGAGCTGGTGGTGATGGGCTGGACGTGGGCAGGGGCCTCAGGGGAGCTGTAGAAGGAGGGCGATTCCTTTTTCTACCCAGCCCACCTGCTGTCTCTTGGAGGGGTGAGGAAGGGTGGGGATTAGGATGGCTCTGAGTGGGGGTGGAACAGAGTGTGTGGGGTGGTGGTTGGGGAGCAGCAGGGAAGTGGCCACCGGAGGGGAGGGAGCCCAGGACGGCTCTCCCTCCCTGCTGCCACACTGGCCAGTAGGTGAGGGATGGGGACAGTGGAATCTGGATTCCAAGGGTAGCTGTCTGTGTGATCAGAAGACTGTGACTCAGCTGGAAAACAGGGGAGCAAGTTCCTCCAGTGGATGGGCATTAGCAGAAAGCTTGGGGGGGGCAGTGAAAAGACTGGAGAAAGGAGAGAATGGGCAGAGAAAGACAGAATGTAGCTGTGACAGGGAGTCAGGGAAAGTGGTGCCTTTTTTGCTGCTATTCCTGTTAAGACCTCAGAGGTCCAGAGCTGGCCCAGGCTGACCCTGTCTGGTGTTGTGGGATCCAGAGTCCCCCTGTGCCCCAAGCGAGTCTTGATTCCAAGGACGCAAACTATCAGGTAGTTCAATCAACATTTGTTGAATGATAAGTGGGGATGAAGTTAAACCTACACCAAACCAAAGCTTGGAGCCTGATAGGAAAATATCACCTAGGAATGCAGACCCTGACTGAGAAGAAACCGAGCCTCCTGTGCTCATTCCACACACCAGTGGCGCGCTTGGGCCCCTCACTCACACACACACTCACACACATGCGCATGCCAGGCAAGAGATGCAGGTGGCGTGAGGCCTGCTCTCTTTGGATGGAGGCGCTGCTCAGCCATCCCTGGGGCACGAGGTAGCTCCTCCTCCCAGCTCAAGGCCACATGCTCACCTGGAACTCTTCAAGCTGCCATCATCGGAAGCTGCCTTGGAAGGCCCCTTGTTTTTCGACAACCATGACTTGACCCCGTCGACCCGGTCCTCCAGCTCTGAGTCCACATCTGACTCCCCCTCGCTGTGGGATGAGGAGCAGAAGGGTAGGCAAGGTGGAGGAAGAGGTGACCACTCGCTTCCCAGTAGGGGGCACTCAAGTGGCAGCAGGTTTCTCTTGGGTAGGGGGGGTGGGATGTGGGGTGGCATGCGCATCAGTGAGTCAGGGAAGAGAACAGAGAGGTTAGATAGCACACCATTCACAAGGACCCTATCCCGACTCAGCAGGCCACATTCTGTGACAGCCACCAAGAAGACCCTGAGGAGCACAGAGGCACCTCCCATCTCACTTTCTGTGGCAGGCTGCTGTTCAGCCAGCCAATCCAATGACAATCACAAGGAGACCATCCATTCATCAGTTATAGCTAAATGGCTCTTGGTTAACAAGAAGAGTCCTGGGACCTTCAGCTACAACTTAGGTCTCCTCTGCTGGTTCCTGTCTCCCCACTCCCAAAAACATGGCTATAGCTGCTGCCATTTTCCATGCCTTCATGGCAAGAGCTGGGCAGCTGGCCATGGGGCAGAGAAGGGTTTCACTGTGACTTCAAGTCAGCTTGAACCAGGAGTCACCTTAGCTGGTGGCACCACCAACCTGGGCACCATAGCCATATTCCAGACCCATCCTGTGACTTCCCTGGCCCTTAAGAAACTGAGAAAGGACAAAGAGGGGGCAGCAGCATTTCCCGAGGGGCTGGCAACAGCTTCAGGATTCAGATTGCACCCTGGAGACCCAGCTGGGCCCAGAGAGTCCCAAACAAAGGCTGTCTTTCCCCAGGTCTCCTCTTCCCTCCCTCAGGCAGCCTCCAGCTCTTGCTCTCCAGGGCTTCTCTGGCCAAGCTGGCTGAGCTCTATCCACTGGCAGGAAAGCCCAAAGGAGTCAGATTCTGAGGCTGGAGTTGTGGTGACCCCCTCAAAAAGCAGTGAAGGCTTGGAGGCAGCTTCTGAGTGAATGCTTCTAGAATTCTGTAAAATGTCTGCTCACCACATTCCCCTGCTACAGATATGCTAGGATTTCTCCTTGATATAAATTTCCTTTCATCTGTGTCAACAGGAGCAGCCGCATTCCTGAATTATGTTCTTGAATAAACAGCCACACAGGCATGTAGGTGCGTGCACGTGTGCACACGTGTGCACGCGTGCACACACACACATACATGGAAGAAACCACCAGTCTGTTCTGGGGACTGAGAGAGCAGGACTTGTGGGGAGGGGAATAAAGAGGCGTATTTTATGTGCTTCCGTCAAATATAGAATTATAACAAAGACGAGGCTGGTTGATGCCCTGGGTAAATAGGAGTTTAGCAGAGAGCCCCGAAACCGCTAATGCAAGCCCTGTGCCCGTCCAAGCCTGGCAGATTTACTATGGTGCACGGGCCCCATGGAACGCCAATACCACCTGATTTATACACCCGTGCAAAAAACCTCCTTCTCTAGCTTCAGAGCCTGTAATTTATCACCGCCGTTCATAACCATATTGATTGCCTTTAGAAAGGAGGTGCCGTATGCATCGCAAAATCTATGTCTACATGTTAAAAGCGTTTCTGTATAAATCTCCCTTAATACTGCGCTGTTTACTGCTTTCATTAAGGTTATGGCAATAACAACTGTATCTCTAAGTAAATCGAAACATTATTTTTCTGCCCGCCTTAGCACGCTCGCTCGATAACTTGGAGCTGGGGCCCAGAGCTGCTGAGAAAGGAGCCATACCACCTCTCTGCCATCAGCGGGAACCCAGCTAGGACTGCACGCCCCCGTGCGCCTGCGTGCATGCACACGTGTGTGTGTGTGTGTATGTGTGTGCACATATCCGTGTGTGTGCGCGTCTGCCTGGCAATGGTTTAGAATATGATCTTAAATGCGCATTTTATCAGCCCTCGAAGCTCCTACAGTACGAGGATGGCAGGGCTGGAACACACAGGGGACAGACAGTTGTGGGCTCAGAATACGAATTCTCCTCCTTACATTCAGAGCAGCCAATGGGTTGAGAAGCTGGCCTGCCTGCCCTCGCCTTCCCTTTAGTTTCAAGCACATAGACAACGTTTGGGTTCTTTTCCCTAAATAATCGGGCCCGTAAACAAACTCCAGGGGCAGGCAGGCTCAGGGGGCAGTTGAAATTTTAAATGGTTGGAATTAAACCTCGCGTCAAATACAATTTATGTCCAGGCTCATGTGCTATTAGTTAACTGGGAGCCGAGTCGCGGGGGAACAAACAAACGGAGACAGAACGGCGGGGGATATTAATTGTGTGTGACAACCGGGCTCCAGCGGCCCTCTATCACTGTTACACACTATTACATTTATCATTAGCTCTTGCAGAGTCCTCTGTGCCTCTGCCAGCCCATCCTGGCCAGCAGGGAGGCCTGCCAGGCAAGAGAGAGTGGGGGTGGAAACCAAAGCCATGCTAAAAAACAACCCCCGAAAATCTGCCCTGTTGGACTTGATGGAGAATCACCCTGATCTGCCTGGAGGCCCGCACATTTGCACCCACTGTCCAGCTCCCACCCGGAAAGAAGGAAATGGAGAGGGGGTGGATTTCCTGGGCTTCCCGCCACCTGACAGACAGCACCAGCACGAGCCCGGGGCCTCCCCCCGCCCAAGGGGCCCGCAGGGAGTAAAGCAAACACATCTGGCTGTGTTCCCTTCCCCTACCACGGCAGAGCAGCCCTGATTAGCTGCCTGAATGCTTTCTCCAAACAAGGAACCGTTAGATGCCGCTCACCTTCTACCCTTGTCTGCCAAAAGAACCGGCAGACCTTTCAGAACGAAACATACCGGCTTCGTTAAGGCAGCTCAGGCTCCAGAGGAGCCCAAGGATGTGGCCCGACCCAGCCCAGCCAGACTTTTCTCCAGAGAAATAGGCAGGGAGGCGCTACACTTGGTTTCTGAAGGAGGAGAGGGCTGGAGCTCAGCAGGCTGTGGATGCCAGCGAAGGAGGCTGAGACCTCCCTTCTGATGGAGCCCCCGCTCCTGCCCTCCAAGGGCGTGAGGGCCAGCCTGAGCCTTCCTGGGGGAGCACACCTTGTTGCCTGCCCTATACTCTGACGCAGGGCCCAGCCTGTCGCCCCGCCTCCTCAGGACAGAGTCAGCGGTGTTAGCGTGAGGGACTAGCTGGGTGGAGGTGCGGGAGGCTGTGCGCCCACGTGCGGCATGCAGCGGGCCAGGGCCCGTGTTAGGGTGGTTAGACACCACGCAAGGAGAGGCAGAGAGCGCGTGCGCTCCAGTCCTCACGGTTTATTCTTTCTTTTCTGATACTTTGTCACCATGTCCTGCAAACTGGAAACAGAAAGAAAATGGTGGGCAAGGGGGCGAGAAGAAGAAGACAGAAAAATCAATGGGCAAACCAAGGTGGACCCCTCAGCTGAGGAACCCTCCTTCCTCAGGAAGACCTGGCTCTGGCTGGCTGAGACATGGCAGCAGGATGAGTGAGGGTGCTATCCTCAGAGGGCGGTCCAGACCACTCTGGGCACCTTTCCCCTGCTCCCACAAGGAGCAGGCTGCCTGCAGGAGGGGGCCCCGGCCCTCACGTGGGAAGGGGGCAGGTCTGGGGGTCTGCCCAGGGCAGCCTTGGGAGCTTCTCTAGGGCCTGACCCCACCCCCGACTGCTGGTCTGCCACCTCGTGACTTCCTCCTCAGCCTACAGCTACAAATCTCTCTCTCCGAAACCATTCCCTGGGCGGGTTTTATAAGAGAAAATCTCTGGCATGGTAACAAGGCACCATGGCCCTTAAATCTCTGCTCTCCCCAGAGTGGGGCAGGCGCCATCGGAAATGCAGCTAAACGGGGGAATAACTCATCTCGAACAGGCAGAACTGGAGAACCAGGTCCCGGGAGGCCTGGGGAAGGAGGACAGGGAGGACGAGGGGAAGGAGTCTCATGCAGGCATCACCTGTCCTGCACTAACCCGCTGCAGGACAGAGTCCAGGCCAGGGTCTGGCCATGAGGGGAGGGTGGGCTGGTGGCTCAGTGACAGGGAGACAGAGGTCACAGCTGTTCTATCTGGTGGTCTGGTCCAGAGGTGGTCAAGAGGGCCTCTGTGTGGGCCAAAGGTGCCATAGAGACCCCCCTCACCTGTTGATGAGGTCCTCGTTCTCATCGCTCTCCATCTCATCCTCAATGGCGGCCTGCAAGTCCCCGATGCGCTTGAATGCCAATTTCAGATCGGCCTGCAGGCTCTGGTTAGCAGCCTCCAGACTCTCCAGATCCATCTCCTAGGAGGGAGAGTGGGCAGTCCAGGTCACAGGAGGGCTAGTCTTTCATCCAGCTGCCCCAGAAAAAGCCTGCTTCGAGTCTCTTCCAGGCAGGCAGGAGCTCTATGGGTGCTGCTGCAAGCCTGCAGTACTTTTTTTTTTGGGGGGGGGGGAAGATTAGCCCTGAGCTAATATCTGCCACCAATCCTCCTCTTTTTACTGAGGAAGACTGGCCCTGAGCTAACATCCATGCTCATCTTCCTCTACTTTAAATGTGGGACACCTGCCACAGCATGGCTTGACAAGCAGTGTGTAGGTCAGCACCTAGGATCTGAACCAGGAAACCCCAAGCCACCAAAGCAGAATGTGTGAACCTAACCACTGTACCACCGGGCTGGCCCATGTAGCGCTGTTTTCGCTCTGGTGTTGCTGGGCTGTTGGGGCTGGCCTCACTGATGGAGACTCCGGTACCACACTTGGCCCCCTGGCCTGTCCTCAGAGCTTCCTGGACTGTCCTCCAGACAGGTCTTCTTCCCTCTAATTCTCTAAACCACCGTTTCTTTGCAGGCCACCCCCTACCAGCCCAGGGGGGTGGGGTACACTTAGCAGCTACTCAGAGAGCTGCCAGCTCGGGGCCCCGAGGGTTGGGGACATTACCAGTTCATGCTTCTTGCGGCTCGCCTCGGCCTCCTTCCTGGCAAGCTCGCCCATCTCCTCCTTGGTGTCCCGGAGCTGCCGCTGCAGCCTCTTGTTCTGCTCCTTCTCCCGATTCTCAGCTGCTATGCGCTGATCCCGCTCCTCAGTCAGCTTCTCCATGTTCTCCTTGAGCCGGCTGGCCAGGCTCTGGACAGGGAGGTGGGAAGAGAGACCCCTCAGCCAGGTGGAGGGAGGGCTGTCCCTGAGCTTGGACTTAGGAGGCCTGGGGTCCAGCTCCGGTCCTCCACTCACCAGCTAGAGGGGCAAGCAACCAAAGCCTTCTGAGGCGGCCTCCTTTGCGTTTCTGTAAAATAGGGGGAAGAACACCTATTCCCCCAGGGGTCCTTTGAGGACCGAGTAAGGTAATACGTGTGAAGGCCCTCTGGAAGATGAGAGGGCCTACTATCATCATCACTACCAAGGCTGGAGGAGTGCTCAGGCCAGAGCCTGGGCCTGTCCAGATTGATACCCTGTGTGGGGCCTCCACGGGCAGCAGGGCTTCCCTCCGAGACCCTGACCTGGAAGCTCCAGAAGCCAGATCCTGTGCTCAGAGGTCAATGGCTTTATTGAAAGCCATCCCTCTAAGCCCGACGAGTATCTCCTCCCCCAGGAACTTGAACACATTTCTCCCTGCTGGGCCACAGGATGCTGAGCAAGAAATGATCTGGGGACTGCGGCAGGTTGTGAGGGAAGGACCCTGCTTCTGGGTCTAACCCTGGTTCTACCACTGACTCGCCGTACGGTCTCCACCTCTTGACCCCAGCCTCTGTGTCTCTAGAATAGCAGTGCTAGGTGGCATGATCTCTAAGGGCCATTTGTGTCGAGCATTCTGTGTCCCTAAACCACAATATTGCCTTACTGAGCAGAAGGGAAAATGAGAGAGAGAGCTGAGGAAAGGGACTGGGGCCCATGAGAAAAGGAGACAAGTCCAATAGGTCTGCCCTAAGTCTACCAGACGAATGGCCTCTTTTGCCCCTTGGTAGCTTTGTGACGTTACGCAACCTACTTAACCCTTCCTGTACGTAAAATGGGGGCCAAAATATTACCAAGGCAGAACGTAAACTATTGTTAAGTCTCCTCTAACTCTCTCCAGCTCCCCTGAGGTCTGTGACCCTGTCTTGGGCGGTTCAGCCATATCTTCTTCCTAGGTCAAAGTATTAATACCACCCAGATGCCCACTACCAGCCCCATGGTCATGTTTCCATCCCTACCCTAGCGTCTGCGCCACCGACTGAGGGGTTGATGGGGAGGTGGCAGGAATGCTCCTCAGCACCCACACCATGAACACACTTCTCACGGAGAACTGCCGGCGCTTAGACAAATGTCTACAAGTTCGAGGAGGAGGAGAAGTTAAAAATAGGGCGAGAGGGGTGTAACCCAGAGAGCTCATTCTGCCTGCTTCTTTCTTCCTACCTGCTCTGCCGGAGAGGGAGGAGCTGGAGCGTGCTGGCTCCGGCAGATTGGAACAGAGAGGAGTGAATTTAGAGAACAGAGATTACAGTAGGGAGGAAGGCAGGGTAAAAAGATAGAGAAGAAAAGAGGTGGACAGAAAAAGGAGAAGGGGTGAGGGGGAAAGAATGAAAAGTAGAAGGTGTAGAGGAATGGGATGGGGAGAAAGGAAGAAACGGGGATGAGACTAGGGAGAGGAAAAGTACAAAGGGAGAAGAAGCAATGGGGCAAAAACAGAAAAATGAAGAGAGAAAGAGAAAAAGCAGAGATGGGAAGGGTGGGAAGTGAGGAAGAAGGGAATAAAAAGAGAAGGGAGACAGAGAGCGCCTGGTGAGATGAGAGAACAGACTTCAGCCCTCACAGAAGTGGTGCCATCCGCTGCATATTTATGACCCTGCCAGAGAGCGAGTGAGGGGACTGGCGGGGGGAGCTCATGGTGGAGGAAAATATGAAGACGAAAAGCTAAGCTGCTCTGGTCCCTTGGCAGAAAGCAAGCACGGAAACAGAATGTAAAGCAGGCAGACTCTGCGGTGCCCAGAGAGCAGACAGAGCGGGGTGGGGGGAGGAGGCACTCGCCCGTCAGCTGGCCTGGCAGCTTGGCAGAGGCCTCTGAGGAGTGTCCATGGGCCTGCCCAGCCCTGCTGAGCATGCGTGGCTCCAGCTGCTGGGGTAGCTCTGTCCTGCTCCCTGTGGACTGAAAGTGCACACCCACCTCCAGCCGCTTCACTTGGGTCCTTTCAAACTCCAGGCGTGTCTCCAGCTCCCGGATCTTAGCTTCCTGCCTGCTCACCAGGGACTTGTCCACCATGGACTGCTCCAGGAACTCCACTTGGCTTTGGAGGGTTTGTAGCTGAGGAGTAGGGGGCAGGAAGAGAAGAAAGAAGTGAGCGCAGAAAGGGAGGGGTGGCAAGATCACCATGGTGACCAGAAGGCTGAGGGAGGGAGGGATGCACACGGAGGTGGAAGGATGGGGCCCTGAGCCAGAGGCATTCCCACCTGGCCCAGTGCTGGCACAGATTTTGCCCTTTGTAGAGAAAGGAGAAAGCTAAGGACCAGAGAGGGAATAGGAATATGAAATGAGGTAGCTGAAGCCAGAACGTCTGCTATGGTGGTATGGCTCCAAGCCTAGCCCTTTGCACTCCTTGATACTGCTCTGTGGATTACTGAAGGTAGAGAAGTATTCACTGTCCCGTGAGCTTGGGGGTTCATCCCGACACACAATGACCCTGGCACCCTCTCTCTACTAAGGGAGACCCTGTCCCTACCTTCTCCTGCAGCTCTTGCTTCTCCTTGTTGGCTTCTTCTAGCTGAGCTTGGAGATCATTCATCTGAGCCAGGTCCCGGGAAGCCTGGGAAAGGAGAGAGTGCTGAAGTGGGATCCCCCATAAGAACCAACTCCAGCCCCACCTACCCCACACTGAGTGCCAGGGCACACAGGCACTGCAACCTCCCAGAAGAAGAGGCTGTGCCAGGGACTTACGAGGAGGACTAGGACAGTGTCTGTGGTGTGGGGTACGGGGGGCACCTCTGGGCAGGGTACCTGAGCCACGGCCGCCTTGTGCTTCTTCATCAGCTCATTCATATCCTCCTGATCCTCCTCCAGCCGGTTCTGGATCTCATTCTTCTCACGCTGAAGGCGGCTCAGCTGCTCCTCCAGCTGGATGGAGGCAAAGGTGGACCAGAGGGCATCAGGCCTGGAGTCCTCGATGGCCCCAGGTGGCAAGTCCGAACCTCCCCGACGCCACTTCCAATCAGAGGGGGTCATGAGGCCGGGCCCACCCGCTGGAGCAGGATCCAGGACCAGCGATGCTCAGACACCTGCCTATCCTGCTCTGGGCCAGGGAGCTGAAGGAAAGGGCTGTCTTTGTAGCACAGGCAGACCCTGGGCTCAATGACAGCTGCTTTCTGGCAGCTCTTGGGAGGCTAATGAGAAGGCAGAAAGGTGTGCCCAGGACAAACGGCCCATCGTCCTGGCACTAGCAGTTTAGGCCCCAACCTGCATGCATTCTGCCCCCTTCAGGCCCCAGGGAAGGACCCCTGAAATCTGATGTTCTCCTAGCTTGGACTCTCGTTTCCGCTGGGATGGCCTGCTCCCTGGCCATCCAGCCTCCAGAGCCAGTCCACTCCTGGGGGGAGGGGAAGAGACAGTCAACAGCAGCTTCAGGAAATGAATGAATCTATTAGCCTGTAATTCCAAACCAAAATGACTGCGTTGGCTCCTTCTCTGCCCCATCCATCTTGTTACCGGGCTGTGGGGAGCTGGGGAAGCCTCAGCCAAGAAATTTATTAACTCGGATTTAAATAAAATGGTAATTTTATAACAGCCTTTTTTAACACAATTAAGGAATTTGAATTACTCACCTGAAAACTGCTGAGGAGCACAAATGTCATGGGGATAAATCAGGCCTGGGAGATTGGCATCTCTTGGCGGCCGGGTGAGTAGCTGGGGACCGTGGAGCCCAGAGCCAAGCCCAGCCTCCTCCCTTGCCCCATTCCCTGCCCATGGAGGTACTGGTGGCCGCATCTCAGTAATGAATTCTCAGCCGATGGATGGGCCATGGGGGAGATGAGGAATTAAAAGGGAGGCATTAAATAAGAGCTCTAATTAGCTGCCGCTTGGGCTTGTCAGTGGGCTGACCAGGGGAAGGGGAGGGAAAGAGAGCCACCCCATCCTCTTATCGGTGCTTCCGCTAATCTCTAGGCGCCTGTTTACATCCCTCAGCCACATTAGCTGCCTTTATTTATGGTGTTGGGGCCTGTGGCCAAGCTCCCTCAAGCAGGTGGTTAAATAGGGAGACGGGTCCTTGCTGGCTCCTCTTCCACCTCGCCCCCCGCCCTGGCCTCTGCTGACTGAGGAGAGACAGAGGAGGGGAGGTCTGCTCTCCCTGCAGAAAGCTCTGGCGTGAAGGGACCGGGCTGGGGAAGGGTCCCTGTTTGTGGTGAAGGGAGCCATGTCGCAGCTCTGCTCTCCTTCAGCCCCCAGCCTGGTCCTGCATACCCCGGACCCTCACCGCTGTCTTGGCTTTGGCAATGTCATCAATCTGCAGGTGCAGATCTTCGATCTCCACTTCCATCGCTTTCCGTGCTTTGACAGCTGCTGCACACGTGAACTCTGACTCCTCCAGCTAGACACAGAGCCACCCCCGCCCCAGGGAGAGATGTCAGCCATTCCCTGGGGGCAGGAGGGCTGTGCAGGGTGTTCACAGGGGAAAGGGAGCTCAGGAGCCCTCCCCCTCCTCCTCTGTTCACTGCAGACCCCAGGGCTGGGGCATGTTGTGGGACATGCACAGGCATCTGCTCCTGTGACAGGGATGGTGAGTGCTGGGCCCCATCCACACCATCCTGGGGCTTGGTGGTCATGCTGTACAGTGTGAACAGACCCTGGGAAGCCTGGTTGCTACAAGTGGCTTCTCCTCACTTCCCTGTCACACTCCTTCCCAAGGACTGAAGAACCACTGAGAGGGGCAAGAGGGAGAGAATAAACCTGAAAACCAAGCTCGGTTGCCCCTGCAGCTGATGACTTCCTGCAGATACCTGGTTTTTCAGCTGGGCGATCTCCCTCTTGCTAGGCGCGTTGTTCTTCAGGTGGTCCAGCATGATCTGGGCATCTGCCAGCAGGGCCTTGGTACGCTTCAGGTCTTTCCGGAGCCGCTTCTCTGACTCAAAGTCCCGCTGGTTCACCTGCGTGGACACTAGAAGTTGGGGCTCTAGCATCCACCACAGGGCTTCCTCCTGTCTTCCTCAAGCCCACTCCTATTCCCGCCCTCATTCTGAGTCCCCCTAAGGAGTAACGACAGTGGAAGTGTCGGGATCGTGCCAGCCAATGAGAGAAGCCTGGGTGTGCAATGTATGGTCATCACCTCCTTCCACAAGTGATGACAGTGGGCTCTACGGAGCCCAGCACCCCCCTCCCTGTTCCCAGTCTTCTCTCCCTAAGGTTCCCATCCCTGAGGCCAGCTGGGGCAGGCAGCTGGCCAGGCCGCAGCCAGCAGTCTCCACTCACCTGGTCACTGAGTGTGGTGAGCTTGCTCTCCAGCTCCCGCTTCTCTCGCAGCACCTTCTGCTTGTCCTCATACTCTTCCTCAAGCTGCACTTCCATTTGTTTTAACTGGAGTGCCGTGGGGACAGAGGCCCATTGGTCCCTTCAGTGTCTGGTGCCAGTCAGACCCCTTCCCTTCTGGATCCCCACCCCGGGAAAACAGTGAAGCAGGGCTGAGGATGGATGACCCCAGAGGGGTCAGACCCTGAATTCAAAGCTCCTAGGGTTTCAAAGCAGCCTGGGAGGGAGAGGAGGGACAGCAGGCCACAGACAGTGGCCCTGAGCCATAGTGAGAGCCCTCGTTCCAGAGTGGGCAGGCCCCGCTGGGCCAGGCTAGCTGACTGCACAGAGGGGCACAGGGTGGGCTGCCACTTGGCACAGAAAGCAGAGAGCATTAGTTCCTCAAGGGTCTGAGCTTCTCTACGGACCCTGAGAGCACACATCCCAGCCAATGCCAGGATCCTGAGCGGAGATTTCCTGGTCCAGAAGGGCAGTGGAAGATAGTGTGGCAAAGGTAGAGAAACACACCCCTTACTTTAAATCAGTGATGGGGGGACCACGGTTTACACTGGACCGGTACGTGCCCATTGCCTTACCTTCTTCTGACACGACTGCCGGGCCTCCTCTACCTCCTCATCCCGACTCTCCATCTCCTTGGAATGGGTCTGCCTCATCCGCTCCATCTCCATCTCAAGTCGCAACTTGGCCTGGAGGTGGGTGGGAGTAGGGACTGGGTTCCTTCCCCAGCAGCACCCTGACCCCTGCCCACACCACCCTGATGGGCAGCTCTCTCCAGGCTCCGGAGCAGGAGAATCTCTGCCAGCAGTTCCCTTCGCTCCCACCTTCCTCCTGTGGCAGCTGGCTTCTGCAGAGAAGCTGAACTCCCTTACTAGATGTCTGGCATGAGCCCAGAGAAGGCTGCTGGGGGTGGGGACAGTCCTGTGGTTTTTCCATTTGGCCTCCAGCCTCTAGCTCCCTGAACTGACGCAGTAGCTCAGTGGCAGGCTGGGTAGGCTCACGGCCTTCCGGCTGCCATGTATCCAGAGCTCCTCACCACTAGAGCTCAATCAAGATTTGCTCTTGTGGAAAGCACCACAAAAGCTTAATTATCTTCACACTGCGGCTGGTGCAGATCAGGTGCTCACTCAACATTTTGTGAGTAAGAGAACAAATGAACAAATGAATGATTGAATGTGGGATCTTGCCCTCCTCTGGCGCACACCCCGGGTTAGTTGTGGTCATGGTGGTTCCTCCCTCAGCCAAACTCTCCAGCACCTGCTCCAGCATCTGGATGGTCCCCGCCTGCTCATCCAGCTCCTCTTCCTGATCCTTGACCTTGGCCTCCAGGTCCCGGAGCTGTTTCTTAACCTTGGCCAGAGAGGCCTCATCCTTGGACTCTTGGGAAGAAATGTCCTGGAGCTCAGCCTCCAGTGAGACGACCTTCTGAGTGAATCCGGCAATGTCCATGTCTTTTTCCTGGAGAAAAAGAGAGGATGAGGCTGGCCCTGGGCTGGCTCTAGCCTGTGAGGGTGACAGGGCATGGCTGGTGGGCAGCCCCACGTACCTCTAGTTGCTGCTTCAGGCTGAAAGCCTCGGCAAGGAGCATGTCCTTCTCTCGCTGCAGCTTCTCCCGCTGCAGCTTCTCGCGCTGGGCCTCCTCATGGGCTTGCGAGAGCTCACTGTCGAACCTGTGAGGGAGCACGGTCATGGTAACTCCATCAGATAAGGGAAGAGTCCGGGTCTCCAGTGCCCAGAGGCTGCCAGGAGGCAGCGCCACAGATACGGACAGGACACAAGCAGACGGGGGATTCACACAGCCTGAACTTGGGGCCAGTCGTGAGGTGACATTCAGGGGTTATAGGTCAGGCCATTAAGGCCCTGCTGGGCAACCCGGTCTGGGATGGGAGGCATTCCTTTGAGGGGATCCAAAGGCCTAAGAGGGACCCACAGACTGCTTCTGGGAAGAGTAAACAGATTCTCCTCAGGTGTTAAGTCTTGACCTTTCCCTTTTCAACAAATAAGAGAATGAGGGACCAGGGTGAGGGCAGGTGGGTATCAGAATGGGTAGAAATGGATGTCCTGTCTCGTCTAACTCACTTTCCACAGTTCCATTCAGCAACTCTAGATGGAGCAGCTGGCTCCTGCCCCCACCTCTGGGCACCAGCCTTTGGCCAGGTCCACCTGCCACAGCAGTACCGTGTCACACCAGGACACTCCACACCGGGCTGGAAGCCAGCAGTCCCACTGCACCCAGCTGGCAGCATGCTTCAATGGGCTAATGGTCCACGGTTGCGGGCCTCTTTCTTCACTCCTCCACTTCCCAGCCTTCCATTTCCCACCCAGGGACTCCAAATAAGGAGCAAATTGCTGAACTTCCTCTTAACACCTTCCTTGAATAGCTAATCAGGTTCCTGTCAAAAACTGCACAGCTCCCATCCGTTCCAACTCCATATAGAAAAAAAGTAAGAAAACTCCGGGCAGCTGAAACCTAATAAGTTGCCCAGCAGGGAGTGCAGCAAGACGGTAACTAGGCCGAGATGGCACTGTCATCGGGGTGCTCAGAAGGGAGGTCCCGCCAAGGGTGCCTGCCTCCAGGTGAAAGGGAGGGTGGGGGTAAAGATGAGAACTAGGGAAGTGGAGAACGGAGGTGCTGGGAGGGAGGAACATAAGATCTTCCTACTTCCCCTCACTCTGCACAAAGCAGTAGCCCAGCAGGCCCTAGTGAGCCCCCAAGGCCAAGGGTAACCCAGGGGCACTGGAAAGACTCAGCTCTGCCACTGGTGACCCGAGGGCTGTGGGTGTGGGGCTGCCCCTTCACAAAGGCGACTGGTGCCTCTGCTGAGAACCCCTCCCCTGCACAGGGACCCAGCGCTGTTCCCACTCCCTGGGGCACCCTGCTGTTCCCAGGGTGTGTGGGATCCTTGGCGTCGCTAATAAAGGCATCCCATTCCCATCCCCAGCCAGGGAAATTAATTTAGATTGGATTTTCTCCTGTGAGGGGGCCCCCTCCTCTATGTCATTACCATAATGAGATGGAAGTGGCACGGTAGTTTAACGACATTAGTCAGGAGAGTGTGTTTGTGTAGCTGAGGCAAGGGAGAGATGAGGAGCTGGGCGGAGGCCGGGGCGGGGCCACATGGAATGGCTTGTCCTTACTGGGCCCCGGCAGGGTGACAGGCACACACTGCAGGGAGCACATCCGAGAGCAGAAGCCTTAGCAGGCCTTCAGTGGGGATGTGGACTGAGTGCTCCTCAGAGGTCAGGAGTGAGAGCCATTCTCATACTAGGAGTGATCACGCAGGCAAGGTCCCGGGCCAAATTCAGGCGCTCCCCACCTTCCTCCCTGGACAGGAGGCAAGGAGTCCCCAACTGGGGCTGTTCTAGGAGGTCTTCTGTACCCAGGACAGGGGACCCACCCACCTTCTCTGCTTCTTCTCCAGCTCGTGGTTGCGGACCTGTTGGCCCTCCAGGTGCAGCTTGGTGTCCTGCAGCTCAGCCGTTAGCCGCTGGCACTTCTTCTTGAGCTGCTGCAGAGCCCGCTGGCTCTCGTCACTATCCGCCTGCAGGTCCCCGAGCTAGGGGCCAAGATGGGGTGCAGGGTCAGCAGCCATGGAGAGGCCCGGAAGTATTGATGGAGAAGGTGAGAGGAAGGAGGTAGGTGAGTGACGGGGAGACCCAGGGATGAGGGATGAAGTCAGGGACATCCAGGGAACCTAAGACACTCTAATAATAGACTGCCCTGGGTTGTCCCCTGCACCGAGAGGCTAACACACCAATCCTTCCCTATTGCTCCCAAGCCTGCCTGGCTCAGGCCCTTCAGAGGGCCAACACGTGGCACCGAGCCCCTCCCAGGCACAGGCCTCCACTCCTTCAGCCAGACTCACCCGCCTCTCCAGTTGCCTCTTGTTCTGCTGCTCCACCTCCAACTTGTCCTCAAACTCCTGCTGGAGCCGCTTCTTGGTGAAGTCCACCTCCCGCACAGCTCGCTCATACTTCAGGCGCCACTCGCCACCTGTAGGGTTGGGGGCAGACAAGGGAGGACTGAGCTGCTAAGAGTCCCTGGGAAGGGGCAGAAGGGAAGAAGGATGAGACAGGGAGGGGCAGCAAGTGGAGTCAGCCAGAAGGACTCAGACAGGTCTCTGTAATGATGGCTTCCTCCCAAGGCGGAAGGAGCCACTAGCTGGGAAAAGATGAGAGGGGGTGACGTGTCTATGTGCACTGTCCTCTCCCCAGGGGCTGCCAGACCATGGCCCTCAGATGTTGTCATCATCATGATGGTTAAAGCCCTCTGTGATGATCCCTGCATTTATTGGCACCTCTACTTTCTCATCTATTTATTTGACTTTAGCCTTACAATAGCCCTGCAGAGGGAAGATAGGCCTGGACAAGGAGGGTGGTTACCCAGGGGTGAGAATCATGGTTTGCCACTCAGGCCACTGCTGAGCTCCTCTGGCCTCAGACCTACCTGTGTCATCATCATCCACTTCCCCGTTGATCTCAGCTGCCCGGATGAGACGGGCCTCCATCACCTCCATTTCCATCACTTCCATTTGCTTCTTTAGTGCATCGTACTGGGTCTGCAGAAGAGGGGGTTATGAGATGTGCCGTTCCACCCCCTCACCCAGTACTACCCACCCCTGAACCACACAGTCTATGGTCACATGCTTACCCAGGGCAGATGGGGGTGCTGGGCCAGTGGCAAAGATGCCACCTGTCCTTTGGGGGAGCAGACAGTCACTAGAGTGTGGCAGCCGCTAGCATGGCTGTCTTCACCTCGGCCTTGCCCTCACCTGTAGCTCCTTCATCTCCTTCTCGGCTCGGAGCCTCTCCGCAGTCTCGGCGTCCAACAGCTGGGAGGCGGACTCTCCTGTGTTACGTTCATCCGTCAGCTCCGATGTCAGCTCTGAGATCTGGAGTTGGGGGAGGGAGTTGCCACCAGTTGAAGTGCCTGCCTCACTCAGCAGGAACACCATGGTGGGGGGAGGGGGGCACCTGGCCCGGCCACCCTTGGAGATGGGCCAGTCTGTGTGGTGCTGGGGGTCACTCACCCGGGTCTCCAGCCGGTCACTGTTGAGCCGCAGCTCATTCCGCTCCTTTTCCACCTTCTCAAGCTTGCTTCGCAGCTGCTGGATCTCCTCCTAGGTGCAGTAAGGAGGGCAGTGAGCCAGAGGCACTGCGAGAGGTTGGGGCCTGGGATCCGCACCCTCGGGGTGAAGGAAGCTGGTGATGCTCGGGCCAGGACACAAGAGAACAGGAAGCCACTGCCTCCCAGGGGCTCCTCTCCCTACATCCTTCCCCATATGCAGAGGATGCCTGAGAGTTTATCCTAAGAGGCTACCCAGGGGCTCAGCCAGCACCAGAGAGATGCCTTCTGTTTGATGGGAATAGTTCAAGGACACCAGCTCCCCGGACTAAATCAAGGAGCACTTGGGAGCTCAAGACAAGCTGGCAAGATTCTTGCCCATGTGGATGTACCACAGTCCTTTCCCTCCCAGCAAACTGGCCCTCCCCCGGCAGTTACGTACGTCTCTGTTCCGGATCTGCTCCTCGGACAGCTGTACCTCGATGAGAGGCCGCACGGTGGTAAAGAGCTTCCACCAGGGCCAGTCCTTCACCCCTTTGTTCTTCTTGATGTTCTTCTGCACACAGCGAATGGCCAGGTCTTGAATCTAAGTTGGGTTGGAGGTGGCGCACAGCAAGGCTCTCAGTCCCAGTTCCAGCCAGGATCCTCCCCACCACGAGCACGGCCACGGCACTGCTCCTCTGGCCACTTGACCCCCGAGTCAAACACTCCCTCTGCCACCCCTAGCCCCCAGCCTCCCTCCATCCCTCAGAGAGCCTGGCCCTGGGAGCACTGCACTGGGCACTAACCCACTCCACCGTCATTAGGAATAATTTCGTCTGCTTTATTTGCTGCCTGATTATTTCCAGCACCCTAGCCTAGATGTGCTATAAAACCTAATCTTGCTGAAACACAAGAGGCGGCGGCGCTGGCTGTTTTATGGACTTGCTAATAAGAAAAGGAGTCGCTGACACAGCTCCTTAATCTTCATGGAACAGCCTATGATCCAGAGCCCACCTTTGCCTGGGCCCTGCTTCCACCCACCCTTCCACCCAAGCCCGTGGACCAGGCCACATGGCCCACTGATGGACACACTGGCACACTCACTGGCACCAGGGAGCTGCCCATTCCATACCCTGGCCCAGGGTATGGTGCCCCTGGGAGGTTCCCGCCTCTTCTCCCCCAGATAAGGATAACCCATAGCCCCAAGACCAGCCTCCCGCCCCTGCACATTCCCTTGAGTCTCCCATCCCACTCCAGGAACTCGTCTTGGCCCCTCTAGGCTGGGCAGTGGGACAGAGATGTCCCTGGAGCAGCACCTTTCTCTTCTTGAAGTGCTGGCGGGCCAGAAAGCCCCTGCAGGCCGCCTGGAACAGGGTCAGGTTCCTGCTGGTTTGGTCATCCCGCTGCTCCTCCAGTCGTGCCAACGTGCCCGCCCGGAAGAACACCTGTGGAGAAGCAGGCCAGGTGAAGGCAGGAGCCTGGGCTGGGAACAGCCCAGCAGCAGAAAGGGAGCTGGAGCTGGCTGGAAGAAGGGGAAACAAACAGCTGGCCCAGGAGACCAGCAGGCCCAGGAGTGTGGTCCCAGGCTTGAGAAAAGCCTGAAAGTCCAAGTGCCCAGGAGAAGAGAGAAAAAGCAAGAGACCCTGGGAAGGCTGAGGGAGGAGGGCCAGGCTAGGGGCTGGGAGGCTTTGGAAGGGGCGGAGTAAGGTGGGAAATCTAACTTCAAAGAGAGATGAAAGGAGAGGGAAGCCAGAGGGAAGGGACCTGGGCAAGAAGGAAGTAAATGAAGCAGCCACCACCAAACGGTGGGGAGGACACCCCTCAGCAACACCGGTGGGGGCCTCTTCTCCCAGGACTGCCAGCAACACTGTCCACGCCCCTGTGCCCACAGCCCACCACAGGGCCCCACCACAGCCTCCAGCTGCCTGGGATCTGGTGAAGCGGATGGTGGTGTACGTGTGTAAGAAGAAAAAGGTCCAGGAAGCAGTGTGAGGGCGGGGGATGGGGGGCCCTTCTCTGTGCCCTCCCCGCTCAGTTTCATTCCAGACGGGCTGCTCTCTCATATGGCAACACCCCACCCCCACACCCAGGTTTCATCTTCTCATGAAGCCAGTGGGGTGGGCGGGGGTTGGCCCAGTCAAGGGACCTGTCTTACAGGTTCGGGGGCTGGAGGGCAGATGTGAGAGGAACCAGCCGGGCGCCTGCACACCCAGCCTTTCCTCTCACTCTTCAGTGCCCTGAGCTGGGGCTGGGTAAGATTCTCGCTAAGAGAGGAAGAAGAGGGTGGGGGAAATGGTCAGGTGAAAAAAGGCTCTAGTATCCTTAAGGAGGACAAAGGGACACCTAGGTATATGCCCACCCCCAACTTGCCCAGAACACAGACGATTCCCTTTTGTGGGGCAAAGAGAACATGTGAAATCCATGGAAACACTCAGAACCAACAGGTTCAGTATCCCCAGGCCTCCCTTCAGGGAAGAAGTGGGGAGAGGGCCTACACTTTCTGCTGAGAAAGCTTTGCCTCTGGAGACTCCACAGAAACCTAGTCCCCTGAGGCTGGCCTGGGAGAAAGCCAGCTCAGTGTTCCGAGGCACTTCCTCAAATCCCACATGCGGGGCTGAGTGCCTCAGATCTCCTGCGGGTCTCGAGCCCTACCTGAGCCTGGATTTCCCACAGGTGGGAGCCCGAGATCCCACCGGGGGTAGGGACTATCTCACTACCCCCAGAAGTAGCCCCACATGCTAATGGTTAGCACGCACGGCTATCTGATGAGGGCAGGAGAAGTGAGGTGCCGGCATGGGGATGGAGAATGGTCCAGACACACAACGAGAAGAGAAAGGATGGTCTAGAGACTAGGGCAGCGAGCCTCAAACCTCTCTTGAACAGCTGCACATTTGTGGGGTGGAGTCGTTTAGACTATTAGGTGAAAGCTCAGGGCCATTGCCCCGCAACATACACACCCATACACATATTACAAACAATGTCAAGGGGGTCTCAGACCCCCAGACTCCTTGCCTGAACCCTCAGGGTCCTGTGAGCTCAGACTGAGACGCCCCTCTCTTCTGAAGCAATGTGACAAACACACAGGGAATCTTTGCTCACCAGCCAGCACTAACTACAGCCTAGAAGCCCTGCCATTTCTCTCCCAAACCAGATGTGAGCAAGCATCCGACTTTGTTCCTAATTCTGCTCTGAGCATGAGTGGGCCTGGGGCTCACCTGCCTCAGCCAGGCACCTGGGATGATGCAGAGGGTCTGAGATGGCAGCTGGGAAGAGGACCAGCCTGTACAGGCTCTCCTGCCCAAGACATGCCTTGGAGGAGGTGCCACCCCCAGTGCCAGCCAGCAGCAGCTCAGCCTGCTGGAGGGGCAGGAGCCCACCCAGGGAGAGACCACGAGGCTGAAGGGAAATCTTTGACTGCAGGCTTCCCAAGGAGGAAGCTCAGCTGGCAGCCTGTGAGCTTAGAGACAGCTGGGGAGGGGGAGAGAAAGGTGAGCCAGACACGGCAGAGACCAACACCAGAAAAATGACATGGAGAGAGAGTGGGGCCACAGAAGACACAGAGAACAAGGAAAGAAACAGAAAATAACAGAACCAGAAACCAAGGAATAGAGACCAGCAGGGACTGCCGGGGCCAAAAAGAAAAGGGAAAAGCAGAGACAGCAGAGACAAAGATACAGCAAGGGGATGGACGAGAAAGGGATTCCCAGCAAGGGAGGCACAGGAGAAATAAGGACATGACTCAGAACATAGAACAGAGAGAACAGAGCCGACAAGCAACACTGAAACCTTTTTTTGTGAGCATCCCCTTCCACCTCACACTCCCCAACGAGGCCCTGGGACCCAGAGTTCCTTCCCTGTCTGCCAAAAGCCAGACAGGTCCAGAACCCCCTCTCTGGCTCCCAACTGCTCTCCCTCCCACCTCAGCCCTTGGAGCACATACGTGGACGGCGCTTGTCAAGCCTCCCAGTGTCGGGAGAGAGGGGCGTGCAGGGCTCCCCGCCCCGTGGGAGGGATGCTCAGCTGACCCTTCGGTGTGCAGTGACGCAGCAGACTGGCACCTGGGGCCGGGCGTGCCTGCCTTTCATGCACCACGTTCCATTCAGATGAGGAATGCGGCCTGTGGGCAGGTGGTGGCGGCACAGCCTCACCATGTCCTGCTTGCTCTTCTGGGACCCTGACAGTCCTAGATGACTCCCCATAGGGGACTCTGCCCTCTGGAGCACTCTGCCTACTGCCTTCCTGCTTCATCCAGCTCACCTCCCTTCTGTCTGCCTCAGTCCCCACCCCAGGACTCAGACCAAGGTCAGGGCCACCTTCCAACCCACTCCCTCCTGACATCACGGAGGTGTTCATGGCACTGAACAAGCCAGTTATTCAGAGGGAGGCAAAGTCAAGTTTGCTGCAGCTGGAATATCTAACCTCCTGGCCTCTCTAACTCTGAACAGGGCAGCTTGAGAGGAAGGGCAGCCCCAGAGTGGCTGGGGGGTGAGGGGACCATGGGAAAGACTCAGAAGGGGCTCCAGGAGACTCCTGAAGTCAGACTGAGCACGGAGAGCAGGAGCGGAGGGCCGGCCCTCTGGACTAGGGCTGCAGAGAGTGAGGTTGACTGCTCCGGCAGGGACAACTCACCCGGCTCAGGCCCATGCAGCAGCTGCTCTTCTCCAGGTCCAGGGACTCCAGCAGCTCCTCTACCGCCTGCAGAGAGAGGCCTCTGTCAGGGAGCCCGCCCAGGGTCTCCCATCTCCATGCAGGGCTTCCTCCAGCCCTCAGTCCATCCCTGTCCTCCATTCAGACAGTCCATTATTTATCCAACAATCACCTCTGGGGGGTTTCCGTAGTGTCAGGCACTGTGTTAAGAGTCTGGAGATATAAAGGTGATTACGAGAGGAAGAAGCTGTCTTGTTGGGGAGCGAGACAGGTGAATTAGTGATGTATATAGAGGAAGAGGCATCTAAGTCAGACAAGGAAGCCGTGGAAGGCATCCTGGAGGAGGTTTTGCTCGTGCTGAGTCTTTACATACAAGTAAGAATTAGCCAGACAGAGGAGGGGAGAGGACATTTCAGGCAGAGGGACCAGCCTGGGCAAAGGCATGGAAGCGCAAGACAAGAGAATGCCCCGAGGAAGTTGAGGTGTAATTAGAGAGGTGGGCAGTAGTCAAAGTAGGTGGAGCCTGTGTGCTTTGAGAGCTCCTGGAGGGTTCTCTCAGGGAAGGGCAGGGTCAGATTTGTATTTCACAGAGACCCCACTGGCACAGGGGCAGAGGATGGTTGGGGACCCCCTCAGGCAGCCACTGCAGTAATCATGACCCAAAGGGAAGACAGGAGGGGGAAATGCTGGAGATGTCAAGGAGACAGAGCCTTGCAGGTGTCGGGGAGCGGCAGATGAGAGGGAGGAAGCTAGGGACACACTGAGGTTTCTGATTTCTGTAACTAAATAGATAATGGTGCCATTCTCCAAGGTAGGGATGACAAGCGAAAGAGTAGGTTTAGGAGGAGATATAATCAGCTGAACATGCTGACTTTGAGGTCCCATAAGGCATCCAGGTAGAGAAGTCCAGAAAGCAGCTAGATAGAAATGCATGTCTGGAGCTCAGGAGAGAGGCCTGGGATAGAGGTATTGATTTGGGAGTCGTCAATATATATGCGGTAATTGAAGTGATAGCTGTGAATGAGGTTGCCCAGGAAGAAGGTGTAGAATAGCAAACACCCACAGCCAAGGAGAGAGTCTTAAAGAAGAGAGAGACCTTTACTTCAGGGGCAAGTGGAAGGAGGGAAGCTCAGAGGGACTGAGAAAGAAAGAACAGAGATGAGGGGAAAACCAGGAGTGGCAGCAAAGAAGCAAAGTGACACCAAAGAAGGAGAATATTTCAAAAAGAACAGAGCTGTCAACAGAGTCTCATGTTGCCAAAAAGCATGGAAAGGTGCCCATTAGCTCTGGCAACATGGAGGGCACGGGGACGGGAACCGGGCAGCTATGGGTGGAGGGATGAGCGGTGGTGGGGTGGGGGCGGCAGGAAGAAAGTGAGTATTGATGGTATGGGGCAGGCGAGAGACAGAGGATAGTCCGGCATGAGAGAGGGTTGACGGAAGGCTCCTTTGTTTTCCGAGAGCAACATCTGCCGAATGTTTCTCCACTGGCAGAAAAGAGTCATCAGAGGAGAGGCTGAAGGAACAGGAGAGAGAAGAGTTACCACTGGTGGAGCAAGTCTCCAGGGAGACCAAAGGGAATGGGTTCCAGAGAACAGAAGGAAGGGACGGGACAAGGGGAGGAAGGTGGGGCTTCAGTTTTATTAGCATTTTGAGGCAAGGTCAACTGCTGGGAAGATGACCTGGGAAGGTGCAATGGGGGAAGATCTGAGGAGAAACATGGAGAATGGAACAGCAGGGAAGGAGCTTGGAATAGGGGTAAGGAGAAGGCACATGGAAAGCTTGCCGGGCCACCCCAAGGGCTCCGTTGGGGCTGGAGACCATGAACCTGTGGGAATTCAAGTCTACATGGTTGTATAATTTTCTCCCACAGCCCTCGGGAGCCCCAAACTGAGGAATGCAGACACTCAAAGGCTGGTCCTTCAGGGAAGGGGTTGAGCAGGGCAGGTGCTATGGGAGGCTCAGGAGAGCTGAGGACAATGAAGGCCAAGTGACTGGAGGGTTGGACCACAGTGTCGAGGCTGAGTGGAAAAGGAAATGAAGTCAGAAGGGAATGGACAGAATAGAGAAAATGAAGTGGGGTCCAAAAATGAGAAGAGTCGATGGAGTCAAAGAGCAGGTGTCCTGAGAGGAAGAGAGGAGTGAGATGCACAGGTGAGAGGCTGTGGTCAGAAAAGGCCATGCTGGAATTTAAGATTTCAGTGGCGGAGCATTTCCAGGGATGACAAGGTGCTGGGTATAGCCCTGAGTGGAAGGCTCAAATGGAGGTCAAGGGTCAGAGAGAAGTGGGTGTGGGGCAGGTCATCTACATCCACATCAAGGTTTCCCAGGACACTGGTGGGTCTTGGATAGAGAAGATGGAGAGAAACTCTTTGAGGCCTCCATGAAAGTGGGTCTGTGACTCAGGAGGCAAGGGGCGGGGGCTTTCTGCCCCACTCTGCAGAGTATTCTCCCTTTTAGGGATGCCTTCAGAGTCAGGCTGGGTGCCCGAGGCCAGAGCACAGTGAAGGAAGGCTCCTCTGCTCAAGGAGCTCTTCGGCTCTCTGAGGAGCCGCCTTTGGGGATCAAGGTGACAGCCTGGAACGACAGGGAGACATCCCCTTTTGCAGCCATGAATTCACTAACTGGGCTGCCCAGGGCGCAGGGGCCTTAGGCTCACCTGGCACTGGGGAGGCCTTGCCATATCAGTCTTCCTCCTAGGAAGGATGCGTGGCCACCCCTGGACAGCTTCCTGCTGCAGGAACTCCCCAATGTGGAGGTCTAGGCTGAGGGGCCCAGGTGCTACCAGTGGAACGCCTACAACACTAGTTCCAATCTGCCACCTGGGAGGTTCCTGGATGACTGCTGGCACCAGAGAGCAGACACCCCCACCTCAGACCTCCAAAGATGGTGGCTCTTCAATTCTACAGTCCATGCCTGGGACTGCCTTCTCCCCACCGCCACAGCTTGGCTGCCACATGCCCCTGTCCTAGCCCTGGCAGGCCCAAACCAGGAGCCTGAGAAAGGGCTAGCCTGGCTCACTCTAGGGGAGGAAGGGGTCTGAGCAGAGGGAAGGGGGTCTGGTGGGGCTTTGGGGCCCAGACCTACCCGCCTTTCATCTACCACGATGTAGTTGCGCCCGTGTTTCTTGGTCAGGTGTGGGGCCAGGACATCGAAGCGGCGGCGGAACTCGGAAAACACCATGTGGTCAGGGTAACCTAGAGAAAGCAGCCAGGAGCCAGGCCTGTCAGCGCCTTGCCTGTGCCCAGCACGCCCCAGTAGCCACCAGTGCCAGGCAGCCCACAGGGAGAGTCACGCGAGGGGAAGGCACTGCTGGGGGAGGAGAGCCTGCGACTGAGGCAGGCCCAGGAAAGAAGAGCAGAGAGGAAGGAGGCAGGGGGAGAGACAGAAGGCCGAGAGGACAATTAGGGCTGCCCCACAGCGGGATTGCAAGGTTTAAAAAGGAAACAGGTTCTTTTACAAGGAAGTAAGTCTCTTGTCATTGAGGCATACAAACAGGGGATGGCTGACCAGCTGGAAGGAACGCTGGGGAGATAAAAGCCTGGATGACCTGTAAGATGCTTCTAGACCTCCACGTCTACAACTGTTATAACCCAGAGAGAAGTGTCTTGAGGACTTAATAAGGAAAAAAAAAAGGGCATCAGACAGTATGGAGAGAAAAAGTACATGAGCTTGGCGCTGGAATCCTGGCTCTGGCTCTTAGTACCATGTGACCTTGGACCAATCACTCAACCTCTCTGAGCCTCAGCGTCCTCATCTTTAAATGGGGGTCCTACCACTTATCTCACGTGGTAGTCATGGGGCTTAAATGAGAAAATATGTAGAAAGCACGGCTTGGCTCACTTGGTGGGTGTTCAATACAGCGCTGCCTTCCTTTCCTCAGTCCACTGAAGCAGGGATCAGAAAGGGCTCCCTTCCTGCCCCCAGCCTGACCATGAGCCAAGGCCAGGTGACCAAAAGACTTGTAGATTCTCTCTCCCTAAAGAATGTTACCTCTAACAGAGACTCCCTCCCATCTGGGCTTGAGGTCGGAGCAAGGGTGACTGTCTGGCTTGGAGCAAGGTCAGGATGGTGGAGTGGGAGGTTACCCCGAGTCACCCCGAGGACACCAGAGCCCACAGGAGAGGACCAAGAGACCCACCCCTAAAGAATCACAGAATTGCAAACCAAAAAGGGGTCTTAGACCAGATATAACTTATCTTCCAGATGTGGAAACTGAGGCCTGAGAGGTGGAGTGACTGGCTTGCTCAAGGTAACAAAGGCTGTGGCTGGAGACATCACTGGACTCCAAACCCGGGCTACTGACAGCCGGTTGCGGCTCGCCCCAATACACTGGCCTAGCTAGCTCTGGGAAACCCTCCAACAGGGAGATGAGGCTGATGCATGTGCCTGATAATTGAAACAGGAGGCGGGGGCCGCTGAGGGGCCAAGACAAAGTGAGCTATTGATTGTATCTGAATTGCAATTAAATTGATGGGCCGGGATAGCAGGTCCGGACGCCTGGCATCTTAATTAATCATCAGCTCTATCGATAGTGGCTGGGGACTGGGTAGGGGGAGGGGGCACGCTGTTGCTGGCCTCATCGATCTGCTTGTTTGAGTAAAGCACATTGATTTTGGTTCAGAGCGGTAACAATCTGGTTTTGAAATAATAAACACCAACTCCATATCAAGACGTGGGGCAGATCAATGATTTATTTAGAGCAGGGCAGGGAGCCCGTTTCCTGGCTTTGGCTGCTAAGGAAAAGTGGCGGTGCCCATGGGGATGCCTCAAGGGGACCTGGCTGTGGGGGGATGGGACCCTGCCTGCTCTTCTAGCTAAGGAAAAAGGGGCAGAACCCTGGCAACTCATAACTTCTCAGGCAAACAAAACTGTACTGGAGAGGCGTGAACTCAGAAGCTGGTCTGCCTGGGTCAAATCCTGCTCTGCCGCTCATGAGCCGTGTGACTTTGGATAAGCTACTTAACCTTCCTGAGCCTCAGTCTCCTCATCTGGGGATGATAATGTCATGTCATGAGGTGGTGGTGAGGATTAAGTGAGTTAACGTGTGAGACGAGTTTAGAATAATACCTGGGTACCGTAGATGCTCTATGGATGTTAACTACCATAACTATCACCCTCTCCGCCCCCTCCTCCAGATGGGCCCATAAAAAGGGTCTGTCTGACCTTTCTGGGGAATTTTAAGTACTTCAGAAAGATTTAGCACCTCATTTCTCACTGGGGGGCTGGCCCAGCCACCTGCCTGCTCTTGGAGGTAGTTATCGCCGCCAGGCAGACAGCTCCATCAGGGCACGGGGTCTGCTGCTGTGAGCAAAGCTGACCCACTGGAACCAGAGAAGGGGGAAGGAGGGAGCTGTGGGACCGGGCACGTGGGGCAGGAGGGGAGGGAGATGAAGAGGACTGGAATATGGCAGGGAGAGGAGGAAGAGGGGAGTCAGCAGAGTGGAAAGAAAAAGAGAAAAGAAGAGACTGGGCTGGAGAGACGAGAAGAGAGGCCCCACAGAGGAGGCACCAGGGCGGAAAAGACATCTAGGGCCAGTCCAGAGACAGGAGGGGAGCAGCACCCCTCCAGCCCCACGGGCCCCACTTGGTGGGTGAGGAGGGTTGCGGCAGCTCCATAAAAGAGAGGTGGGGGTCGAGAGGGAAAGAGGCCCCACCTTGGCGGTACATGCGCATGGCATCAAGCAGGCGGGAGCCTCGGAGTTGGGCGCGGAGCAGGGGCACGTCCAGCTGCAGGAGCCCAGCCTCGCAGTGGTCTCCGGAGGGCAGGTCCAGCTCACTGCTGCTGCTGACTCGGCGGGAAGAGGCGGAACGGGGCTCCCCGGCCCAGCCCTCTGCCACAGGCAAGAAGCAGTGCACGAAATGCAGCTTCGACTTCTTGATGGTGTCAATGAGGGCGTCCTGCCAAAGGGGAAAGGACGGCCCTCAGTGGGCTCTGATGGCCCGGCCCATGCCCAGAAGAGCAGGGACTCGTGCCAGCATCTCCACTTTGCATAAGATGGCAGGTATCCCAGCACTGACCAGGACATGCTAAGTGTGGACAACTCTGCCTTTACTAGGCCTGAGCAGCCACTCAGCAGCACTGAAAAGGGGACCCCACCAGCAGTGATCAAGTCAGAGTGGGATGCTGAGTGGGCCCCGGGTGACCTGAGTGTGCCCAGGACGCCCAGGCTACCTGCCAGGAATGAGGAAGGGTCCCGGAGTCTGGGCGGGCACACTCACCACCTGCAGCTTAATTTGGATGCACAGTGACTTCTTCTTGACAGCCGCCATGCCTGTGGTGAAGGTCTTCCGCATGCTGGTGGCCCGGCGCAGGGCCAGCTGCGAGCCTCCCTCCAGGCCCGCAATGGAGCCTGAGAGCACCGTGGCGCTGCCCGCCCGGCCCAGAAACAGGTTGCTGATGATTTTTCTGCCAAAGGTGGGAGGGCAAAGGAGGGAAAGAAGTCACATTCACGGAGCAGTAGAAGCCGTTCCTTCTCCCAGCGCCTGTAACACCAAACAACCCCCACACCGCCGTGGCCAGGGGCCTGGGTTATCTGGGCTGGGGCTGCATGTTCCACGCCCTACAGAGGAACTGCAGAGAAATCTTCACACAGTAAGAGGAGACAACCAGGGCGGCAGAAGCCGAGGGGTAGGCAGGGATTGGACAGAGCAGAGCGGGGCGACCTGCTTTTCTCCATCACTGGGCAGGGGGCACAGAAGTGGGAAAGGAGTTTCCAACGTGGCAGGAAAGATCAGAGCCCAATATCTTCTAACACTATATAATCTACTCCCTACCTCTCCTGCTGATTATCGGCTTCCCCTACTGGAATGTAAACTCCACAGGAGCAGAGCAGGGTTTTTGTTTCCTACACTGCTACCTGCCGAGCACCTAGAAGAGTCTCTGTCACAGAGGAGGTAAAGAAATGAAGGAATGAACGAACAACAGGGCTCATATGACTGAGCGGAGTCTAAGGCCACTCCCGCCTTCTAAGAAGAATGGGGGGGTGTTATTCAAATTTAAAACTATATGTCTCTCCAACAATATGGATCCCACCTCTACTCCAGGAGGCCACCCCCTTGCCCCCAAGGCCAACGGCCCTCAGCTGTTGCCTCTCAGGAAGTAGAGGCCATCTACCCTGCTGGTGAGGGGGCTTCTGAGAGCAGGGAGCCCAGAAAAAGCCCTGGGGACAGGACAAGGACAGAGTGAGTGGTGTTCTTACTTCTGGGAGTCCTGCAGGAGCCGGGGGGCGTTCTGGGTGGCCGGGTTCTGCTTGGTGTAGCTCAGCCAGCCAGCCACATTGTATTCCACCCAGTTGGTGCCATGGCTGTGGCCCAGGAGGAAATGGTGTGGTTTACTGCTGCGCAGGAGGGGGCTTTGGCCTGAGGATGGGAGAAGCAAGGTTCAGATCATCAGGCCACAGCCCGCAAAAAGCCAAGGGACTCAGTGAGCCCCCCGGGCAGTGACACCTGGGCTCATATAGGTGAGTCCTCTGGAGAGGAAGCAGAGGAGCTGCCCTCCAGGGGTGCCACCTACCTTTTTTGTCACCTTCCTGGGGGCCATAGTAGGAGAAAAGGCGCTCCAGGAGGGCATCTTCTGTGGCCCCTGGCACCAGTGCCTCCTCTTCTAATAGCCACAGCAGGCCCCTTGCCTCATCCGTGCGGGCCAGCGAGCGGACCTATGGAGAAGCAAAGAAGTCCCACCATGCCATGGGAGCTGTGGGAAAGGAGCCAGGGCCCCAGCCACAATCACACACTATAAACATGCTACACATACACACACACACACACTGCCACCGTGGCTCCTGCCACTCACTGCTGATGCCTGTGGAGCAGGTGAGCAGCAAGGAGAAGGAAGGGGCCAGAAAAAGATCAGAGAGAAAAGCCCACAGCAAAATACGATTCCTAGAACTTGTGTCCAAAGTCACCAAAGACTGAGGTTTCCTATTAACCTGAGCCCCACATCCAGAGGCTCTCCTCCATCCGCAGCCTCTCGGAGGTCATAGGGGGCTTGGGTGAACCCCATGCTGCCCTCACTCCCTGGGCATCACTGCCCGGGCAGATGAAACGAGATAACGTCAGTAAGGCCCTGAGCATAGAGCATGGCCCAAAGGAAGCTCTCAGTAAGTGATGGCTGTGGGGTTAACCCTGAGAGGAGAGAACCTAGAGAAGGCTCAGAGGACTGCAGGTGGGATCACTGCAGGGTCATAAACTCAAGTGCCAAAAGCCACAGACAGGTGACCCTATCTATGGACGTGACAGCCAAAATGGGCGGAGCTGAGGTAATGGGGAGCAGGTCCCCATCTAAAGGGAACAGACACCACTCAACTCAGCCAACTGCTGTCCTGGAAGAATGCTGGCCTAGTGTGATAAAACCTCCAGTTTTTCAAGAGAAGGCAGAAATACTAAATTCTGATTTCTCATACCCCATGCAGGCCAAACAAACTAGGCCTGTGGCCACATCGGTCTGAAGGTGACTTTCACTGGAATTTCCAAGTCTTCCTTGGGCAAGAAGGACTGAAGTTTCCCCAGGCCCCGTTCTGGCTTAGCCTTAAGGGATTGGGGGACAAGAGAAGTGAGAAGTGCCATGTTCCCTCTCTTTGACCCCAGCTGCCTGCATCTATGCCACACAGCTGCCCAAGGGAATGAGGGTGACTACCAGGAGGAAGCAGAATGCGGCCAAGGACTGATGGGTAACTACGTCCCAGAGTGGCTGAAGCCGCATGGCAGGAATAAGCAACGAAGCCATCGAGTGGAGAGTGGCAGGCTGGGCACTAAGGGGCCCCCATCCCCAGAGGTGCAGCTGTCCACTGCCAAGGCCCATCAGATAGGGAAGAGCGAAGAAGGGAAAGGATGGCAAGCCCCCTCCAAACACACTGTCTGATGCGTTGCTGCTCCTAAGCCACGTGGACTGACTGCCCTGTACCTCCTGGGAATGGCAAAGGCTCTTGAGGGAGGCCACTGTGGGAGCCCAGGTGTCAGGAAAAGAAAAGCCAGCTTCCCTGGGGAGACATGGAACTGGGCACTTTAGACATTTGTCCCAGGGGGACATTCACTCTCCTAGATCCCTACCTCCTTGTGCCAGGCCTTCCTGCAGGGCAGAGGGACAGGGAAGCAGGACTCAAAGCAGAGGAGGGAGATCAGCAGCCCAGCAAAAATGCCAATTCTCCAACAGAGCACCTATGCAACTCCCTAACTGAAGACAGTGGACAATGTCAAGTGCTCATCAGGCCACCCAGTCCCCTAGGCAGCAAGGTGCCCAAGATGCTAGTCCAAAGGGTGACGAAGCCCATGCCCAAGGCTGAAGGGCGAGGGCTAATATCCACAGAGTCCCTCAGTGGGCGTTTTATAGCTGAGCACTGTCTCCCCGTTTGGGTGGAAGGCTGCTTCCTCGCTTAGCTCTGCTAGGCTGCATCAGTCCTCTTCTTGGGGACAACGGGAGGGAATGACTATGTCCTCTGGGTCTAGCCAGGCCCTCATCACCTAGGAGGAGACACCAGGGCTCCTGGCAGACACATTTCAGGCTCAGCCAGTCACAGGACAGGGCCTGAGCCTCAGCTGTTAAGAGAAGAGGTACGCCCTCCCGCCTGGCTCAGACACCCAGGGGCCGGGGCTCCCCACCGCCCCAGGGCAGAAGAAGGTGCCACCTTCCTGGCCAGATCGGCTGAGGGGCAGGCCCAAAGTTCTAAAGCTTGGTGTCTGGGCCTGACTGCTGGGCCCCCTCAGCCCACAGTGGCACCCTGGAGGCAGCGCACAGAAGGGCTCTACCGAGGAAGAGGAGCGGGAGAGGAGAGAAAAGGCCAGTCCAGGCCCCCGCTGGAATTCCTACCAGAGACTGATGGGAGGCTTGGTCCACAGCGGCCACTGAATCGTCCGTGGCTGGCTCCAAGTCATCAAACGCCAACTCGATGTTCTCCTAGGAAGGAAGGCAGAGCGGTTGTGAACATGGAGCCAGGCGTGGGTCACACCCCCATGAGCAGGCCAGGAGGGAACGCTGGGGTCAACAAGCCTGATCTCCTGTCCTGTGCAGAAGCTTCCCCCAAGAAGCCTGACTGACAAAAGCTCTCCACCTCGCAAGGCGCCACATCATGTCTTTGGACAGCTAAAATCCCTCTAGCTTCTTTTTATACTGAGCTAAGGGCACATGCTCCTGTTATTCGCATCAGTTGATTAGGCTATGCAGAGTAAGCCTACTTTCGACTCCACACAATCATCCTTGACTTGAAGACAATGGACATCTTCCTCCTGAATCTTCTCTCATCCAAGATAAATATCCTGCCCAGTTCGTTCAACTCACCTCCACATGAGGTAGGATTTCCAGATCTCATCCCTTCTGGGACACCCTTTTATTGAGGGGCCCTAAATAATCAATCGCCACCTTAACAGATCAGGAGACAGGGAAGGCCAGGCCTCCATGTGTCAGCAGGAACTGCATGGTGGCAAGTCACAGGGCCTAGGTGGGTGCCTTGAAGGAAGGCAAGGAGGGGCTCCCAGGCACCCTGAATGCCTCTGCAGCTTCGCAGAGCGCAAACTCTGCTCAAAGAATGTAGCCTGAGGCAGGAAAAGACTCCTACGCTAGAGAGCACACGGGGACAGAAATGACCAGAGAGTAAAAGCTGGGAAGAGAGCAGCCAGGGCGAAGGTGGCGCCTTCCCTCATCCCAGATGCCCTCCCTGAGGGTGCCAGGGCCAGAAGGTGAGGCGGGGAGGTGGGGGTGGCAGGCAGAGGCAAGGTCAAGTGCTACCTCCTTGTATCTTTCCAACTCCTGCACAAAGGTGCGCTCATGGAAGAGCCTCTGCAGCCGGTCCTGGGCGTAGTTGTGGCACAGCTCCTCAAAGGAGGCTCCGCGGGCTGACCCACCCTGCTCAGGGTTCTGGAAGCCTGGAGTGTCCACAATCATCATAGAGCAGAGCGAGTGCTGGCTGGACTTGAGAGCCCTTCACAGGGAAAGCCTGGGTGAGAGGTGGCCAGGGCCGTACCACTGAACAGCCCCCACTGGTCTGCCCCTGGTGTCCAGGCAGCCCCACCCTGCCCCACGCCAAATCTCCATCCCCACGTGGGTGCCCAGGACCCTGGTAGGAGATGTGCCTCTTCTCGCCTGCAAGGGCAGTGAGCCCTCTGCTGGTGGAGGATGGCTCTGCCTCAGCAATCACACAAGCACAGAGGCACCAACTCTACCTTCAACAGGACAGGAAGCAGGCAAGCTGCTGGGTCCTGCCTGGCGCTCACCTGTTCACCAGGGAGACAAGAAGGGTGAAGAGCTCACTGTAGAGGCCAGACGCCATGCCCTCTAAGCACTCCAGCGCACTCAGTTTGGGGCCTGTGGGGCAAGAGGATCAGCTCTATCTCCGGCTCCCTGGGAATCCCCACCTGGGTGAGCTCCATACCCACCCAGGGCCAAGTCAGCATGGGGCCCTGGGGCTGGCCTCTCCCCATGAGGGAAGCATCTATTCACCCCAGCAGTCTCCCCACGCCAGAGACAGCAATGAGCCCGGGAGGAGGCCTCAGAATCACATCCACCAGCCAAGGGGCTCAGGGTACCTGTGCCATCTCCCAGGCCGCTCTCCTCAGGGCCCTGGCGGAAGGAGGTAGAGCGCTGCAGGGTGCCCCCCTTGTGCTGGTGCTTGAAGATGGCCGAGGAGAGCTCCTCCAGGCTGCAGCCCAACAGGTATGCAGCCTTCTGGGCCCACTCATGGCGTGCAAACTGCTTGCGCCCAGCTATGGGGTAGAAAAAAGGGATCTGGCATCTTGGGTCTTCCTTCTTAGGCCATTTGATGACCACTGTGTGCTTTGGCTCCCTCGCTCCTATAGGACTGGGGAGTGGGCATCTTCCAGAGGAAAAACCAGCCCTGATGACACCAGAAGGGCTTCAGGCAGAATGAGGACAGTCAGCAGCTGCCAGGGCTTCCTGTGTCCATTGGGGGTGGAGAGAATGAGTAGGTCCTAAAAGAGGAGGTAACTCCACACTGCTGCCACCAGAGGGCACCCAGTCAGCTGTGAACATCCCTGTTACGGGGCGTGTCCTTCCCCAAGGGTGCCAACTTGGTGAAGGACAGTGTGAGGATGAGCCAGCCCACCCACGATGAGCACAAGAACTGCCTCTGCCTGTGGGGGACATCATGAGAGAGTCCTAGTGCCTCTCCCTTCCATGAATGCCTCAGGACCCTCCCTCTAACCCCTAGGCGTCTGCCAAGGGAGATCACAAACACCCACCCATGCCAACAGTGGGGAGGCGAAAAAGCCGCAGGAGAAAGGGAACAACCCACGCAGACAGACGCCTCAGCCAACATGTGTCTAATCGTGGCAATTAGGGAAAGCTAACAAGAAACCAGGTTTACCTTCGGCAGCTTCTGTAAGGCAAAGGACCAGCATGCAGCATGCAAAGAAAAACAGCATGTTAGCAAACAGTCATCAACTGAGCCCGCCAGGCCCACGGGAAGGGGCTGCGGGGGGTGGGGGTTTGTGAGGATGAGCAGGCGAGAAAACACAACCACATTCAGACTTAGAAACACAAACACACACACACTTACAATCTCAAAGGACTATGTTTATGGATGTAATCACACTGACACACACACACATAGACCTACAAAGATATTCTACCACACCCCGTGCCTCCCCCGGAAAATACTAGAAGCTCTGAGGAGGTAACAGACCCTGTTCAGCAAGGTCCATGTGCTGACATGCCCAGAGCTCTCCACCTGCAGTCAGCGCTGAGTAGGGTTACAGGAAACCTGGGCTTGTGAACCCCTCAGAGTGAAAGAACTTCCTCAAGACACGGCCACACGTGCACCCACCTTCCCACCCCCACAATCTGGAGGCAACTTCTTTAACTCAGAGCCTGCTTCCTCTCTGGCAGGGATGCCACCTGCTGGGATCATAAGGAGCCTAACACTCAGACACCTGTTCCTCCATGCACCCACCCACCAGTGCTGTCTCAATCCTGCTAAACAGCCTGGGGCCCCTCACACCCCAGGGGGAGATGAAGCCCAAGCCCAAGGTGCTGCTCAGAGGCAGCATCCCTTTCCTTAAACTGGAGGAGAAAGTGGTGAAGAGGTGATCAGAGCACCCGCCCACCAACGTAATCTCAGAGGAAGGCAGCAGAGCTCTTCCAAGCCAGACCAAGCTCTAGCCATTCACAAGCCCCCAAGCAGAGGCCCTGAAGCTGCAGCTCATTTGTTACCATGGTGCCTGCTGCCCCCTAGTGGCCTCCACCCTGACATGCAAGAGGGAGAGACACCTGCTACCAACCCAGTGGGGAGAAGGGAAGACTCAGGGAAAACTGGCCTTGGGAAGCCCCAGGAAGCAAGCCCACCCTACCCCACCTAAGCCCCATAGAGGGCATCCTGAAAGGTCCCAGGAGCTGGACGCAAAAGTGGTAGAAGCAGCTATTGCTGGGACTCCGAGAAGCTCCACAGCCAGAGGCGCCCTCTCCACCCTGAACTCTGGGGCTTCTCCCAGGCCAGTCCCCTCTGCTATGACCCAACAAGCCCAGCCCCCAGAGAGAGCCAGAGCAAGCACCAAGATGGGGCCAGGTGGCCCCTACACCCTAGGGAGGGGCCAAGGTCAGTTACCCGCTTGCTCCTCGGGGGCCTCTGTCAGGAAGGGAACAAGAAGGAGAGTTATTCCGGGGGACTGCTCCAAGTTAGTGCCTTTCTCTTGCCCCTCAACCTCTGGACCCCCAGCCCCCTGGTCTTCACAGTGCTCCTGGTCACTGCCATCTAAGTCCACGCCTCATCCATCATTGGCAGAGATGCTTCTCCAGGTATTTGGAGCCTTCTGCTCTGACGTGGGGGACCGGGAAGAGGCATAAGCAAAAGAGGGGTGTCTGATAACAGATGAATCTGTGCTGGGCCAGAACAAACTGGGGTGGGCAGGGCCCCTACAAGCTCTCCTGGGCGACAGGCCAGGCTGTTGGGACCCACTGCAGGTTACCTTTGGTGGCGCCTGCAGCCCCCAGGTGGTAGATGGCAGCCAGGATGAGCCAGCAGGCTTTCTGTTCATCGGGTGAGATGCCCAGCACCTTCATGGCCGTCTGCAGCTTACTGAACTGCTGAGCCGCCTTCTGCTTCTCCTCGGGCTGCAAGGACAGGCGGGCACGCTGGCACTGGAGCTCAGAGGGGCTGTCCCTTCTGGCATACCCCCACGCTGCTGGACTCTCAGAGAGGGCAAGGCTAGCATAGAGCCGCCAAAATGGAGCCAAGCTCCTGCTCCTTCCATGGAGCACCCCAGGCCATTAGAGGCTTCTCCTACCCCCAAGACCCAGGGCTGCCAACCCAGTCCCCAGTGTCCCCTCACCTTGGCCAGTGGTACAATCCCAAACACATTGTTCTCTGCCAAGTGGTTCAAGTGGAGCTCTGTCCTAGGGGTACAAAGGACGCATCAGTACGGTGCTTGATCCCCATCAAGGCCACCCCCACCCAGGGCAGAGACAGACAGACTCAGCTTCCAGCCTCTGAGTTCTGTCTGTCCATCATGCCCTACTGTTAGGCCAGTTGCTGCTGCCTTTCCCAATTGGCCTGGATGCCTGGGCAGAGCACCAGCCTCCCTAGGATGGGTCACCAGAGAAGCCATGGTAAGAGTGTCCAGCCATACCCTTGGCAGGGAGCAAGGAACCCTCCTGAAGGGTGATCCAGCCAGGAGAGAGACTGTGCCCTCAGTTACAAGAAGAGCCCAAGAGGATAATGCCCTGGGGCTGTGTGCTCAGCCTTATCATTTATCCCTTTTTCAGCTAATACAGACAGCAAGTCTGAGGGTCTAAGGGAAAGAGCCTGGCAGGGGAGCCAACATGTGGGCTGGGAGGGCCAGTGTGAAAGGCACCGAAAAAGGCTCGGGCTTTTGGCCCCAGTGTGGACTCCATCACCGGCTCAGCCTCAGACTAGCCATGTGACTGTGGGGAAGTCCCTGATCACCCTGCATCTGTGTTTTCCTCTCTAGACCTGGCTTCATGGATGCAGAGATCCTAGTAGGCCCTGGGAACACTGAAGGGTCAATTGTGCCCCTCACAAATATCCAGGCCCCTGTGCCCAGGGCCAGGTAGTTCCTCCCAGGCAGGGCCTATGGCTCACTTATCTCGCCATCCCCAGGGCCTTGCTCAGAGCCTAACATGTAGCAGGCATGCAATAAATAATCGGTATGGGATGCAATCAAGTGGCAAGATCCAGGAGCCATCAGTAGGCTGGAGCACAGAGCACCCTCCCTGTTCCCTCTGTCCCATCTCACCTGAGGGTGCCATCCCCACAGGCCAGCAGGTAGTAGAAGATGTTGAATGTGGCCTCACTGGCTGGGCGTCGAGCCACGCGCAGCTTCTCCAGAAGCATCGTCTGTGGCACAGCATGGAGGGTATGGGCAAGGAGGGCAGTGCCAGGTCAAGCTTCTCCCACTCCACACCAGAAAGAACCATGCCCCCGGGAACAAGCAGTTATACCTTATCCTCAAGATGCTCACCCAGAGGCCAGATCACCTGAGGGTCAAACTTGGGGCAGAGCCAGGGGGAAGAAGACAGGCCCAGCTCGTGGAGGGGACCTGCTGACCCCCCAGGCATGGTCTTCTTGGGGAGCTGGACACTTTGTGATGAGATACTTCATTCAGCATGGAAGGGAGTCAGCCTCGGCTGGGCCTCACTTTACTGATGAGCCAGACCTCCTTGAGTGAAATCAGCCTGAGAGAAGCCGCTAAGTGCAGGGCCAGGGCCCCAGCAGTAGGGTGTGGCCACCCCAGAATGGGCAGGAAACCGAGCCAGGCCCCACCTAGGACAGGAGCCATTGGGGGCAGAATGACAAAGGCTCAGGGCAGATCTGTTCAACCCTGCTGTGCCAGGGTCCATTTTGTTGGGGCAGAATCCCAGGAAAATGAGGCACAGGAAAGAGCCTGATTCCCAGGGCATGAAATTAGGGGGTCAATCTCCTACACCCTGAGTGTCCACTCACCTGAATGGAGGCCGAGGCCACCTGGCCAGCTTGGTCAAAGTCCAGGGAGAGGATCTGGGAGAAGCGGGTGGCATTGCCGTTCATGATGGTAGGGCTATTCCCAAAGGCTTCCAGGAGAGTGTACAGAGCCTGCCACTTCTCCACTGCAGAAGACAGGCCCAGGGGTCATCAGGAAAGCCAGGGGCAGCTCACCCCAGCCATGGGCTCCAGAGGCCCAGGCAGAATGGGAGGCCCAGCCACAGCTGTTTCCTCACTGCATGAAGGCTCGGAGTTACTCAGACCAGAACTGACCAGGGACAGAGGGGTTTTGAGGACACGAAGAGGCCAGGGAGAAAAATAGTTGGCACCCAGGAGGGACCTCCACCCTCAGCCCCCTCTCCCCAGTCTATTCTAAGTTTTCCCAGTTGTCACTGCCTCACCAGAAAACACCTTGTTCCCGCTAGTGCCTGCAATGGTGGCCAGGTATTGCACCAGATGCTGGCAGCTGGTGGTCTTGCCACTGCCACTACTGCCCAGGAGGATGATGGACTGGTCCTGACGGCTCATCAGCATTGCCCTGTATGCGTTCTGGGCCACGGCGTAGATGTGGGGTGCCATGTCCTCCCGCCGACACCCCTTGAACATGTGCATCACCTTGGGCAGGAGAGGGATGGAGGGAAGGGGTAGGCTCAGGCCAGCTGCTGCCGCCTTTCCTAATTGTCCTGGATGCCTGGTCAGAGCACCAGCCTCCCTAGGATGGGTCACCCGAGATGCCCTGGTGAGAGTGTCCAGCCATACCCCTGGCAGGGAGCAGGGAACACTTGGACACCCCTCACTCTCAAGGTCCACATCTTTTTGGGCCTTTCACTGCAGGGGAGCTGTTGGATTCCGAGGCTAAGGCCATGCATGAAAATGCAGATACTAGTCAAGTCTTGGCCTCTGTTAAAGGTTGGGGGAGGGCCTTTTGTGCCCACCCCTTGAAATGACTCCTCTTCCCAACGTGAACTGTGAGAGTGGACAGGAGCCCAGTGGGATGCCAAGGGGAAGGGGCAGAGCAAAGGAAGGGGGAGTAGTAGTGGGTGGGTGGGTCTACGAGGCAGCAGGGTAGCTTAGGGGGCACTGTACCTTCTCTGAGTACACAGCAGGGGCCCCACGGGGGCTGAGGACGAGGAGGCTGGGGCCAGCGTAAGTGTACAGCAGACTAGCACCATAGCGCTGGCGCAGTGTGTGCAGGACGCTGGACTCGTTGAGGTACACCAGTGAGGCCAGATCTTCCAAACGATCGCATGAGGGAGCATTGGCCTGTGTGACAGGACAGGCAGGCAGGCACTGAAGATGCAGAACCTGTCTGCACTGCCAGGGGACAGGCCTGCCCTGCTGAGCCCACCTCCTGTGCCTGCCACCAGCCTCCTGCAAACCTTCTCTACGTCATCCTCGTCCACATCCAAGATGGCTCCATCATGGTCTAGCTTCACACGCACCTTCCCCTCCGGCAAGCTGAGCTCCTCAGATTTGAGCTGACTGGCTGCAGAAGGGGGACAGACAGTCAGACACGGGCCTGGAAAGCCTTTTAAGACCCTCTTTGGGCCTTTCATGGTCCTGCCTCCTCCCCACTATATCACCAACCTCTCCTATCTCAGCACCCAGCCCTCATCAGACCCAGAAGGCACGCTCATCCCTGAAATCCGAGAGGCCCAGGCATCTGCACCCTGGGCTGCCCCAGACTCACCCAGGGAGAAACCATCCTTATGGACCAGCCACACCTTCTCTGTCTCATACCAGGCCTCCTCAGCTGCAATCTGCTCTTCTGTCTTCACCTATCAGAGGGAGGGGAAGAATAAATAGTCAGACTCTGTTCTAGAAAACAGAGACAAGGACAGCAGGAGACAGGAGAAATGTGAGGGGAAGGGTTTCCAGATGAGCCACTGGGCGAGGGGGACAGCTGGATGACAGACACAGAACAGGGGACATCAGAGGTGTCAGAAGATGAAGGTTGGGAAGCCAGGAGGCAGTAGTGGTCCTGAGGAGCGCTAAGGACAAGGACACAGAGCTAGGGACCATTCCTGCCTTGAGGGTCTGGAAGGACAGAGACACATGGAGCACGTACCCAGGAGAGAGCAGACCCCAGGCAAGCAAATCACCAGGATCTACCATCAGCCGCTCTCGTTCCCAATCTCCTGCAAAGGCTGTAGGATCAGCATCCGGAACCCACACCCCTCACCCTGGGCCACAGCTACTTGACCTTTCATGCCCTGCTTCTCCCTTCATCCAACTGATAGGCCCTCCTTCACAGAGCTGGGAAAGGGCATCTCCTCAGACCTGAGGAGAGAAGTGTCTACTGAGGACTTTGTAATGCAAAATGATAAGCACGTCCTGAGTCCTAGCCTTGGCCTGTCCCTCCCCTCCAGAGGATGCTCTACTGGATGGGGGACGGTGTTCAGATGTATATGCCAGAAGGTGGCAGGTGCACAGACCTATGTGGACATGCTGAGGCCATACAGGGGCATGAAGCAGCATGGCCAGAGATATGGAGGGGGCGAGGAGGGGCAGCACAGCTCTGTCAACACAGGAAGAGACTTGCATGTCACAGGGATGGGCACCAGAATGGGTATAAAGGGGCTGAGAATCCCCAGAGGCCCCAGGTGGTCGCCAGTCAGAAAGAAGCATTTTGCAAGCATTGACAGGGTGTCGGGCTGCCAAACCTGGCACCCCCTAGGAAGACTTGAGCTGGGCAGAAATGGTACCAAGGGGACAGGCCCGGCTCCCATGGCCCATCGGGCTCCTTTTGTTGTGGGTAGGTGAAAGGGTAGCAGGGTCATCCAGTGGTCCCTGGTTGGGGGAAGGTCACACACACACACCTGTGGCATTGAGCAGCCCTCAGGCTAGCCCCAGCCTACACTCTGCAAGGGTCTCCAGCTGGGAGGTGCAATGAGTCTCCTAGAGTCCCCCACCCTCATGAGACCTGAAGCCGAGGTGGAGACCCTGGGTGAGGGATTGGAAAGGATAAGAAAATAAAATAAGAAGACTTGTCTTTGTCGCATTTCTTGGCGCTGAAAGAAAAAGAGATCTGGGTCCTGCCCCCAGGTTGGACTCTGGCTTCAGATCTCTCTCTCCCTCGCTGACTGCCCTTCCCAGCTTTAGGGTAAGAAGGCTGGGCTGCAGCAGCGGTCCTCAGACTCTGGGAGTCATGACCAGTGAAACGACCCTTCAAAGACGAGGATCACTATGCAGTTGTCAACATTTTAAATTGTTAAGTGAAGACATTTTAAAAAAAGGCTAGTTCTTCATATTTGAAGAAGTGCAGCTTTATAAAAATAATTACAACGTTTTATTTTCTTCCAAATAACATGAGATCGGTGAAGCCTTTGTCATGAATGGACACGTTCTATGGTCAGGTGTTTTGGTGAATAAGGTGACATCAAAGGTCATGGCCTATAACTAATTCCCACAATGGCCAGCAGGTGGAGACAGAGAACGCCACATCTTCAGGCCTGGGATGGGGGAGGGAGGTGGTGGGGATTCAGCCTTTTCAGCTTTTTCTTCCCAGATTGAGCAGAATTGAAACACCTAGAAACCAAAATTCTGGCCAGGCCCTTGGATTCCAGTGGCTAAGGACCATGTGCCACAGAGGCCAAACTCGAGTGGTGACAGTCTAGACACTCTCCAAAGGCCTCACATAGAACTGCCCCATCACAAACTCCTGGCACTGCCTCCCCGGAGTATCCCCCCAGAAACCGGGTGGGAGCCGGAAGGGGAAAGAGGCCTTACACTCCAGCATGAGGCCCGAGCACAGACGCCAGCCCAGGTACAGGGCAGGGGTGGCGGGTAGTCACCGGAGGAAGTGGAGGGCTCCTGAGGGGCGCAGGAGCACCCTACCTGGCTCTGGGCAGGAGAGGCGGCCTCAGGGTCCAGCTACCAGCAGCAAGCAAAGAAGAGAGAGAGAAGAGGGGTGAAGACAAGCAGACCATTGGCATGTCCCCTTCAGCAAGCACCCTGGCCAATGGACGGCATCCTCCTGCTGCCCAAGGTACAGGGTGGAGGTGGGAGGAGCTTAGCAACAGGACCGGGGAGCTGGCCTGGGCAGGTGAAGTGTGTCCAGTCCAGGAGAGGCCAGACCAGGAAGGAGAAGCCCAGCTTGGTGAAGACTTGTTACGGTGAGATTTCTCAGAGAGGATGCTCTGGTAAGTCATTTCCTGTGGCCTGGGCAGGAGTGTGCCACTCTGCCTCTGGCCACAGTCTCTCCTGGGCTGCCCATCAAGTCCCCTCTGAATTAGGCTCCTCTTCTGTGTGCCAGGCCACCTTACCACACCCAGAACCTGGGCCCACTGGGAGCCTCTGGCCTTATCTTCAGGGTACTTCCCAGCCTAGCTCTCCTGTAGCCACCAGATCCCAGCACAGGGCTGCCCCTGGTCTCCAACATACACCCAAGGATGCCGTTCCCTGTGCCAAGGGCTGCCCTTCAGAGCTGTCATTCCTGCACCTCTCACAGAACAAGACCACCAGTAGCCCCAAGTCTAGGACCCCTTCTTCAAACCCTTCCTGCACCCCTGCACCACTCCCACCACCGCCAGGCAGGCACACCACCCCATGGCAAGTGAAGACATCACCCCATCCAGGTCCACCTGCCAATGCCCAAGAACCAAGGGACCATGGGCAGACCCTGTGGTCAGCATTGACCTCTCTGTCTCTGTCTTGTTACTTAAAGGCCTTTCTGGAGAGGAAGGGAGTCAGCCAGGCCTTGGACTTTGCCTGTTAGAAATGGGCAAGCAGTTAACAGGCCCCACCTGGGTGTGGAGAGTGGGGCTCTCAAAAAAGGGGAGTGTCAGCTCCCTGCCTCGCCACCCATCAGACCCCGGCACCAAGACACATCCTCCGGGGAAGAGAACGGGGCCAGAGAAGGGGGCTGGATCCCTAGCCAGGAGGGGCCCCTCCCACAGGCACAGGGCTCTGGGATCCCTGGAGGAACAGCCTCACTGTGCTCAGACCCTCCGCAGTGCCCTTCTCTCATTTCTTCAAGTGGGAAGCTCCTCTGGCCCCCAGGCCTTCCATAGCCAGGGGCTCCCACACACAGACACACACAGTCTGGCCGCCAGCCTCAAGGAAGAGGTGTGCCAGCAGTGGGGAACTGCACATGAGAGGTGGCATTACAGAAGCTGTGAAGATCCTCTCAAGCCGCTGGTGGGCCTCCTCTGCGGGGGTCAGCCGGGCCTCGGGGGCAGCTCCTGCCTAAGGGTTAAACCACCATTAGTCCCGGCCTGGGATCAGTGGGAGCACAGCATGCCAAGCTTCAGGCCCAGGAAGCCACTGGGACCCAGTGGGTCAGTAGTAAAGGTCAGGGAGGCAAGCAAGGCAGCCATTTGAGTTTTTAAACCATCAGATGAACAAAAAAGAACAGGTGCCTGGAAGTTCTAGGGTTCTTTCTTCCACCGTCCTAACCATTTCAGCGCCAGGATGGCCCTGTCCTCCCACACCTCCTCTGGTTCCTGCCCTAGGCCCAGGTGATAGGTGGCTGAACCCCAGATTAGGGCACATCTCAGCTCTCACCCCCACCCCAGTGAGAGATGGAGGGACAGGGAGCCAGAGGGAGGGCAGCTGGCCCAGGAAAAAGCACATGACACTCTGGCTCCTTAGAGGTTCTTTTCAGGGACTGACGGTTTGCCTCATGCCCTGCCTGTCTGGCCAAAATGCCCCTGCCAACTCCTGTGCGCCAGGAGGTAACTTCCCTGATTCAGAGTGGGCCAAGAGGGGTGGGGAAAGCTGCGGCCTGATCCTCTCTAAGTTATGCAAAGCCTGGGAAGAAGGGAATGGGGAGCAGGGTGGGTTCTGGGATCTTAGGAACCCCAGGAGGTCACAGTCAGGGGGGCCTCTAGGACCTGGGGGACAGGCTAGGCCTTTAGGATGTGCCCTGACCCTCCCCTTCCGGCCAGGAGCATGCAAGAGCACAGAGAAACAGTAGTGAAACTTGACGCGCCCCCCATACGCACGCCATGAGGCCTCAGAAAGGTCCACAAAATGGGAGAGCTTGAACAGAACTGTCCCCAACCCAAGGACCAGCCAAGCAGGCATCACATTCCAAGAGAAGGGGCTGGGCTGATCATCCTTGGCCCTCTCCTGTGCCTCTCAGCCTCCTGTCCCACCCAAAGGGCACTTTGTAAACAGATGGGGCCCCAGATCCAATGGGGGCCCCCTGTGCCCATTTGCCACTCAGGCACAGGGCTCCTCGGGGAGAGTCCTGCTGCCAGAAGGGACTGCTGGCCAGGCCCAAAGAAGGCAGTGATGGCAATGATGATATTAATAACTATTGCTATTAGCATCACTAACGACGCTGCCATGGATGGAGCACCCACCTCACCAGGGACTGGGCTTGGAGCGTTCGTTACCTGAATCGCTCCTAGTCTGCACAGCAACCCTTCAAAGCAGCTACTATCCCTTATTTGGAATTCCAAAATCCAAAAAGCTCCCCAAAACAAAAGATTCTTCCTAAGTATTTTGGTGGCAAAACCTAACTGTTTATTTTCTATTCCCCTGCAACCTGAACATTCAGAGATTTTGCTCGGCAAATATTAATGTGTTTGGTTACAGGTTGCTGCTCATTATGTACTCTCTCTGATATTCTAAAATACAAAAATTACTAATTTTCAAAATCCTTCTGGCCCCAAGGCCTCAGAGAAGGGACTGTAGACCTGCATTATGCCCGCTTGACAGATGAAGGCTCAGAGATGGGACCCTGCTGAAACCACAGTGGGTGAGTGGCTGGAGATGTGAACACAGGCCACTGACTTTAGAAATTCTGTCTTTCTCCCCTAGCACTGATCTGCTAAGACTCTGATCCTCGACTCGGGATCTGGCGCCTCAAGGTGACACCATGTAGCTGGAGACCAGGCCCCAGCTCCCACGTAAGGGTGTCAAAGAACAGCAGCATGCTGGTGAGCAGGTCCCAACCCAGAGCCCAGGCCACCACGGGCTCTGGCATTCGCTTCAGGAAAGCCATGCAGCCCTGCCATCGGCACGTGTCCCGGGCCCTGCTTCTCAGTCATGCGGGGCTTGTTGAGGAGCCTTGGGGAAGCTGGCTGCAAGGGTGATAAGGGGTGTGGGAGGTTAGTGACACACTTGGGTACCTCCTGTTGCACGTCAGGGGCTGGTGACTTGGGCTGCTGCAATCCAGTGAGGTTCAACTTCGGGCCAGTGGAGCCTGGGTCTGCCAGCTTTTCCGGTGGGGCTGGGGAACACTGCTTCTCTGGGGTTTCAGGCTTGGCTGGGGAGCCTGGCTTCTCTGGGGAGCCTGGTTTCCCCAAGGAGCCTGGCTCCTGGCTGGAGGGCTTCTCCCCCTTCCCAGGAGACTGCTTGCCACGGGGCTTGTGATCCTTGCCCCTGCCCCGAGACATCAGGCTCCGCAGGCCCATGGAGAGCTCATCTTTGGCTGCCTCCTTCTTCGCTTCAGGCTTAGGGGGAGCAGGGGGAGCCGGCGGGGGTGGTGGCTTGAGAGGGGTTGCCTTTTCACCCTTCTTGCCTCGAGCTGGGTGCTCAGGGGATTTGATCCCTCTGCTCAGAGGCTCCCTGGGGCTCCCAGGCTCCTCACCAGGCAGCACCTTGCTCACCACCTTCCTCACTGCATTCGCCACCCTCTTCCGGGACAAGCCCTGGGCCTCCTCACCCGGGCCTTCTGCTGACACAGCCCCCAGGCCGTTCATAGCGGGCGTCGGCACAGGGCTCTTGGTTCTCTGGGAAGTCTCTGAGGGTACAGGGCTGGTGGGAGGCTGAGGACTCCTAGATTTGCCACTGCCGTCCTTTGAGCTGCCCTCTAGCTACAGTCACACAGATACAGGTAGACATTAGCAACAATGCCTGTGAACCTACCCACCCCATGCAGAGGAAGAGGTGTGACCTCTCTCCTAGCCCTGGAACAGACTTTCCATTGATCCACCAAACAACACATAGTTCCCAGAGGCTTTCCATCTTCCAGATAGGACAACTGCATCTAAGAGTTTGGCTTCTCTCTCCCACAAAGCACAAGCAGGTACTGCTGTCACCTGTCGTCCACCCCTGTGCTTAGCACGGAGCTGGGAGATGCCAGTAATGAGTGCCTGGAGGCCCAGAGTTACTGGCTTTCAGTCAGGGCAGCAACCAAGGCCCAATCCAGCACCCACTCCCTCACAGCCCAAACCCAGCAGAGATGGAGCATGGATAGGTCAAACTACCACTTCCCACCATCGATCCTAGTTCACTTTGGGGCTTCCTGCCTTTGTGGTCCCTGGTCCTTCTATCCCCCAGTTTCCTGGGCAGTCAGACCCAGGGTCTGCCTATCCTGATGAAAACAATAGTCAGGGAGCAATTCCTGGCCCCAAGACACGCCAAGCCTCCTCCTCCCTGCTCCTCTTGTCTGTGGCTGCTGTCTCCCCTGCACCCACATTCTCAAGGGCTGCAGAAACCCAGTGCTAGCCCAGGAAGCTGCCACCTCAGACTGTTTTCTGCCAGTCTCTCTGCAGTTTCCTCCTGCAAACCTTCTGGTTCCCAGAGTGTACGTGTGGAGTCACAGGAGGAAGAGGAGGCAGCTGCAGCCCACAAAGGGTTAAGCACACAAGTGACCACAGTTCCACTCTGCCCTAGAGCTGGGGCCCTGGCTCAGCCGGCCTCTCAGCCTCTGGGCACCCATGAGCCGCCTGGTGTACACTGGCACATTCCCCCTGGTGCACCCACCCTTCCCCCAGCACTCGCAGGAACTGTCTGTGGTCCCAAGGGACCACCACTGGGAAGGCCAGGCCTGCTAATGGTAGGGCAGAGTTTCCTGCAAAGCCAGCCATACTGCCTAGAGGGAGCAAGGTCAACTTGGGAGCTCCTTGCTGGTCAGGCAATGCCCTCCCACTAAGCTGTGCTTGGGCTTCATTCCCCAAAACAATGACCTAGCTTCTAGG